AGAATGACCCACTTGTGAATAGGTGCATAGTTGGGTCAGTAAAGCTTCCTATAAGGTGGCCAATTTTATATTTGCAGCTTTGAAAATTACAGTCATGGGAAACAGTCCAGTAATTGATCAAGTTGAAGACATCTGTAATGGGGTAACTAGAATGTTCAAATTACTATGCAGAAATCTGATTTAACACTGCTAGTAAGCCAAGAAGCTCCATGGGTTTGGTAACAAACTCTTTCCCTGATCAATCTTACAGGAAATACAAGGGAACAACTACGTAGATTGCTCAAAAGCTTCATCAGAATACTTATTCTGTTGCAGAAGATAATAGTATTCTACAGAGCAGGGCTGTCAAACTAGCAGCCCACGGGCCAGATGTGTCACACGCTGACCACGCCCACCCATTTTAGCGAAGGAAAAAAGTTGTGATAAGTCACTTGACAACCATGTGTCTTTGCGAGTTTGACACCTCTGCTATAGAGTAAGGGTAGGGAAGCTACAAGAAGCTATAACCTTGTATTTGATAAGGATAATGCTGTGGGGTATAAGTAGGCAGAAGGCAGTGATCAACCAGAATTGGATCCAGAGGGGTTCCTGTTAATTGTGGTAACATCTTTATAAAGTTGTCTGACTAGCTTGACAACTTGATATCCATTCAGCACTTTCTGCAGTGCTCAGGGGAGAAGTAATGTTCCAACAGAAACATGTGTTAAAAGACATTATCAAGACTAAGGAAGAAGCTACATATTTGCATTAAAAAAAAATCCCCTCACCCCATGGGAACTTTCTGCTCTCCCACCTTGACCATTTGCAATAATGTACAAACGATGCACACCTCCCAATGACAGCGAAAAAGCAGAAGTAGACAGAAACAGACAAAACTAGCTAGTGAGCTAAGTGATGATTCAGCAAATAATAAGTCACAGCAATGGGAGGAGATGGGCCGGAAAAGGGCACTGTGGGAATCAAGAGGATACAGTATTGAGGAGTTTGCCAAGTTATGAAGTTTGCCTTGATAGATACATGGATGTGGGTTGGCAAACCATGTTGGGCAAGGACTGAGTGGCTGCCTCAAAAAATGTTCCAAATTATTGAGGGCCTAAGAAAATAGAGAATTGGAAAGTATTATAGGACTAAAAAAAATATAAAAAACCAACCGGCTTTACTTTTGACAGCATCTGGCTGTTTTTCAAATAGGTGGAATCTGTAGAGAGTAGCAAAGATAACCAATTCTACTGTCACTTTTTCCATATGTGCCCTTATCCCCCTGTGTCCTAGGGTATTGAGACCCCCTAGGAAGCAGATTACCTGTGAATTACCCAGCATGCACTGAGATACCCCTCCAGCGATGGCATCACACACAGCATAAAATGGAGGCCTGTGGAACAAGGAAGTGGCAATTTCTTTAACCTTCTTCTCCTTGCCCTGATTCCCTGTACATGAAGAACCCACAAATCACCTCCCTACCTGAATTTCCTACAAGCATTTAAAAAAAGTATAAAACATACTGGGCTGTAACGTTGAGCATCCACTTTACTGCTTTTCCCCTTTTCCATGGCACCCGCAGCATTGCTAGAAGGGAGCAGCTGAGTTACTGAAAGGAACCAAGCACACAAAATAACAGTAAGTTATATCAAAACATATTGGGGGAGACTCAGCTGTGATGAAAAAAGACTGAGAATGGGATCAATCAGTTAACAACCTATGAAATACAAATGGCATGTTTATATGGGATATTTCTCATTTGGTAATGCTCCTTAGTAAAATTCTATTTTTGTGTCTCCTATTTGGAAGATACTTGGTGATGATCTTTTGATTTGGAATTCCAGGATTTAGAATTTAAATCTTGGGGTGGGAGGGGGGGAGAAGAACATATCTTCCCTGGGATATAAATTGAAATTAATTTGATTAACTTTTTAAGGGGAAGTTATTGAATTTGCACTGAATGTGTATTCTGAGAGCTACTCTTGGCTGAATATTGTGATGTAGTTCATTGCTAAAAATGAACACATTAGATAAGCTGTAAATGTATAATAATGCATATTAGGAGGATTACTAACAAACATGGTAGGGAAAAGTCCATTAAAAATGCATGCTAGCAACCTTCAAAAAATTGATAGAATTGTCCTGTTCATCAAGTAAGACTCTCCAGAATTTGTCTTCATTGAAAACCAGAACCACAATATTCCATGTTTGGTTCTGTCAAACCTTAGCCCACTAATTTGGTTGAAATCTTGAAACACAATGTATTCATTCTGGGTTTGAAACAAAATATATTTGCCCCTACTTTTACATAACATATAACATCAGGTGGTGGCAGGGCCTGACCAATCTTAGATTGGATTGTATCTGCTTAGTAGTTGGGCTTGGATGTCTGTGGAGATTCTCAGCTATCCAGATCATGGTTGTCCCAAAGATGCTTTTTCAAGAGGCAACTGGACTTTCTGGTTTTTCTTTGAAGATGTTTCGCTTCTCATTTTGAAGATAGAAAAGTCCACATTTTGGTCAGAGAGGACAGCAGGTTTGAAAGAGAGGTCAAAGAGGCCATCTATGTCAAAATTCAACAGAGGGGGAGGGATATGACATCATCTATCTCCAGTCTATAACTCAGTCCTTTCAACAGAAGAAGGCTCCATACCCGTTTGCACCACTCAGGTGACCCTGATGGCACAGATAAACCTCCAGGTCACCTTGATGACTCGCTAAAAGAATGCTAATGTCCAGGTTTCTGAAAGGAGTATAAATCTTTCCATTCCCCAGCATCCAGTCAGAGCTGAAGAAGCTTCTTGGATGAGAAGTGAAAAGTCTTCAAAGAAAAACCAGAAAGTCCAGTTGTCTCTTGAAAAAGCACCTTTGGGACTAGTTGGGCTAGAGAACACCAGAGAGAATTTGGTCATGCTAAATGTGAACTCAGCCTAATTTTACCCTAGCTTTCAGAAGCTCATTAAGAGAATTCTGGGAGAAAATAATCAGTTTCTACATTCATTTGCTGGAATAGACACCTATATGACATCCAAGGGAGTTTCAGCCCACAAACCAGATTAAAATTAGGCAGGAATGTGTTTAAATAAATGGTTTCATCCAAGATATTACTACATTTGAAATTATTTCACAAATGTCGATTGTAATTCAATTGGTAAGGACTGCACCATCTTTTGTTAACTACCTTTAAGGTCCAACTAGATAGAATTCTCTGACATCTTAGACTGACCAGTTAAGGGCAGTCTAAGGTTAAGGGCAGGCACATGCACGCACATACCCACACCATTTCTGTTCTCTAACTAGCCTGTCGGCTGAACAAGTAAAAAACATCTTTGTTAAATTTTACCTGTTAGTTCCACCACTGTCTCCACTCCAGAAGGTGGTAATATATATATGAAATTATACTGAAAACTCTACTGGTAAACATGTAACTGATTGACAGCAGGGTCAGAAATTGTAATACTTCAGTTACACCTTGGTAGCTTTGAAATTCATCAGATTTGGTACTCAACGCATTTTGATGCAAACATTTCATCTCAGTACTCATTGTTTGGTACTCAACAAACAAGCTAGAACTTGTTGGCGTCAGCTGCCTTGTGACTCTACATTATTCCTTATAGGAAATTTTTTTGGGTACTCATCATCTTTGATAGCAATTAATGGTGAGTACTGAGGTACCACTGAACATGCTTCCAATAATGCATTAGTAATTACAATGCCTGCCTCCCTTCCTGGTTGATCAACCTTCTATGGACCTTCAGTCCTTAATGGTGCTGTTTTTAGAGTGTGTGGGGGAGTAGTCCTTTTCTAAATGAATGTTATGCTCCCCTAACCATCTGTGCTTTCTTCTTTGGGTTTTGATTACATTTCTCTCCTTGAGGATCATGAACACAGAAAACTCCTAATCCAGATGATTCATTACCTACCACTGCTGTGTGGGACAGCATAGACCAGTTATAGTTTTGTAACAACACCAATGATACAAAAGGAATCTACTCTGCCTAACAGATCTGCCTTAGAAATGAACACATTTCAGTGTTTACCTGGTGAGCTGGTACTACTGGGTGTACAGACACTGTCATCTAACCATGCATTCTGAACCAGGGAATCCTGCTTCTGGGGACCTTCAAGAGAACACATTAACTCCTGCACAAGAAAAATGGGAAACAGCTTTAGAGGTCACTTAGTCTGTATCTGGAAGATTGCTTCTATGAAAGGGAGTAATAAAAGATCCCACACTGACCGCTTCGTTCTCCTCCTCCTCTGATGTTTCATTCTCTCTGACTCCACTACAACAGCTGCTCACATTAGATGAAGAACGGGACAGGGGCTGCATCACACAATATCCTGATGTCTGATTGGAGAGGCCTCTGCTGAAGGAACACAAGCTCCAAAGAGTCACTGTCACAAATCCTCAAGAGCTATTTGCCCATCCTAAAGATTAATCTTCCCTTCTGACAAAAGTCAGCCTATCTAGCATAGCAATCTGAGTTACTGCTTCCTAAATCCTCTACTAGATTAAAGAAAGGGTCTTCCCTAATGACACTGGCAAGTGCTATATTTCTTTATTTTGTAGAAATAACCTCAAGTCATCCCTCCTGCCATTACGATCTTTCACATTCAACTCACTTGCTCTTCCTGTTAGGGAATTCTGGTGAACTAGGACTGGAAGAACCGTCTGACTTGAGATCAAAGAAGGGTCCAGGACTCTCCAATACCTTCTGTATCCTTTCAGCCACATCTTTGCTAGAGAGAAAAGAATAACCGTTTAATAGAGAGAAAAGAGTCCTTCTATGAGGTCTGTAAAAATTCATGACTAATTTTATGGATGCTCCAGAAGTTCTCATCTCCAGAATAAAGGCTGGTCCTTCCCCAGAAATCCAACTATTTTTCATAATCTGGGAAAACAGCCCACACACACATGTGAAACACACATAGCTATTCTGTAACATCCTTCTTGGAACTTGCCAGATTCATTAATCCTTATGGCTGCTAATAAATAAATAATTTAACAATGGGATGAACGGCTAGCTGTAAAACAAAGTATTAATCTCTTGCACCCTTATTTTTAACTTCCAAAAATGCCTGGGTGCAGTATGGTTTTTCAAGTAAATGAAAGGCTTTTGCAGTTCGGCGTTTACTCAGAAATGAATCCATTTGCCAAAGGACAAAGATAAGTGGAACTTATAGGTTGTACTTGATGTGGTGGTGGTTAAGGCAAATGGGATAAATTAGTCCTTTGAAAGGGGCTCAATTTTCACAGCAGCCATCAAGTGAATGAATAAGCCTCCCAGCCACCATTTTGCAAAAGCACTTCTAGTATGATAAAATGGCCAAAAGCTCTTGTCTTATTCTTTTCCAAAGTGTCTGAAAACATCATTACATTTACCTTCCCAGTTCATTGTAAATCATACATTTTTCAGCTGGACGTTGGGCTGAAAAAATAATTTTATGGGTGAGAACAGCACTGCCCCAGCCCAGTTTTTCTTGAAAGAAAAATACTCATAGGACCCTGCTCATATTGCATTTGTTTGGACTGCAATGGATCAACTGATTTACACAATGCATAATTCAGATTTGAAGTTTGCTAGCAGGAGATCTGGTGCTGGCTACCAGCTTGGGTGGCGTCAAAAAAACCAAAACCAAAACCAAGTGATCATGGGGATCAAAGGCGATTAGCCTTGAGAGCAATGTTACAGCCTCTGAAAGTCACCTGCTGGAAACTGGCTTCCTTCTGCAGTTGGTTGGCAATGAGAAACATTGCTGGGTTAGAGGTCTGATAGAGCAGGACCTTTGCTTTGGTCTTTATTCCCATGTTGTTGGAACTCTTTAGCAGTTGTTTTGTGGCTAATTGCAGCTAATTATCTCCTTGCTCAGCTGTAGTAGAGGATGAAAGACTGCAGCAGCAGTCTTCTGATCTCAGGAGATAGGCTGCAATGTTGCCTTTTCATACTGATTAAAGGTAAAGCAGCTACAACAGATACTAAATTTAATTTGAACCAAATATGGCAAGGGAAACTAGCCCCTTTCCTTCAGACAGTGTTTCTAACTTTCTTTGTAAGAAGAAAACAAGTTTCCTGAATTTTGCACTAAAGCAAAATTCCAGAAATGTTGTTTGGATCTCCCATCAAATCTAACACAAGTTGAGTGTTTTTTTCACTTTGTAAAATGTATCATTCTTGACACATCTGCTAGCACTGCAGGCACTAGTTCTACTTTGGGTCCTCCTTATTCAACTTGAGCAGTTGTTGGACTTGATCCTAGATTAACCTAGCAGGGAACTGGATTAATTTGATTCCCCCCAAACCATTGGGCACCTACCAATGGCGCCAACAAGGGCAGAGGCAAAAAAAGTGTGGAAGTGTGTGAACCACAAGGTCTCTGCTCTACCGTAGCTTGCTAGCTTCTATCTCTTTCTTGGAGGAAGAGGAAACATTTAATCATCCTTCCCCAGTTTTAAAACTTGACCTATAATACAACTAAAGTAGAACTTGTATGCAAAATTTAAAATCAAATTACAGTGTATTTTCAATATAATTACATTTGTAACACTTTAGCATGATCTTGCAAAAACATGTGAATACCACTCCTTTTAGAAAGTTTTAATTTCTTATGCTTTCATTCCATTTTCAGGATAGAAAGAAAGGGATTTGGGGTTTTATTTGTTTTTATTTTGAGGGGTTGAAGGGTATGTAACAGTGGCACTGCTTCCATAAGTCATTTGTATACTGCAACAAGCTGAAATGTTGGTGAGGAGCTTCTCAGAGTAATTAACAGTACTGTTCCAAAATAATTATTACTACAGACCATGTTCATCTGGTAATCAGACAAGGGGAAGTAGATTAGTTAGAAAACAGTATGGATCTTGTATGGATCAGGTTCATAATTATTACAGATACTAGGTTAATTGTTAATATACTATACAACAGAAATAATATACAACGAATATATTTTTCAGCTCTTCAAAAATTACTAGCAATGTGCTTGTACATGTATCAGTCTATCTAAACTAGGGCTGTCAAACTCACGGCCCACGGACCAAATGTGTCACACCCACGCCTGGTTTAGTGAAGGGGGAAAAAGTCCTGGTATGTCATGTGATGCCGTGAGTTTGATGCCCCTGATCTAGACCATCAGCAGTCACCCCAGAAATTTAATGGAGCCACAGAACCTCATCTTGTGTGCTGCCCTCCGAGATCCAGCTACCAAATTTAAGTGAAAACAAATCATTTCAGTGGCACAGGTTTACACTTAGACAAACAGGCAAAAAACAGCAGATTAATCCTCTCCACTCAAATGTAGAAAGATGTAGAAAACATGGCAATGGTCTAAACAAATTGTTTTTGTTATATCACCACATAACTATCATGCCCTCCATAGATCTCAGGAATCACTTTGATTTTATGATATCTGCAGTTCCTAGTCAGAAAACAGTTGTCTGACTTGATCTAAGTCAAGAAATCAGAGGTGGTATTCGGCAGGTTCTGACCAGTTCTGGAGAACCGGTAGCGAAAATTTTGAGTAGTTTGGAGAACCAGCAAATACTGCCTCTGACTGGAGATTTTACAGTATCCTTCCCCTGCCACGCCCACCAAAGAACCGTTAGTAAAAAAATTTGAATCCCACCATTGCAACAAATGCATTAATGTAATTATCTTCTTTTAGAGCCTTTTTGCTTAATTTGTGGTGCCATAGCATGTCCCAAATCAGCTTGCTATAATTTCAGAGCATGCTAGTAATTTGATCAGAAAAATACAGTGAGGTAATTTGTTTAGGCCCAGATTCAAGCAAGAACAGGGCCTCTTCTCTCATTTTTAATCCTCATGTCAACCCTGATAATTGTTCCTTCCTGTCTGCTTCTTTTCCCTTGAATCTTTCTCATTTCTCTATGGATTCTCTTCACATAGGCTCAGTTTAGTATTCTCTTAATCTATTTAAACTAGATTCTGCAACAAAAAAAATTATGTCCTATGCCCAGTTCAGAACTTGGGTTTTGAATTGTTCAAGAAACTAAATTCAGAACTGTTATGAAATTGTCCCATGAAAGTATTAAGGTGTTTATTACAGAAATCACAGAACTGTTAAGAAAGTCATTCTGATGCTACATCAGAAACAAAACAGGTGGCACACAGAGGGAGAAAATGGGGTCAAGAAGCTGCAGGATAAATAAAGAGGAACAGAACATTCCAGTTGGGTTTGATTAGCAAGCAGCTTTTGGACAACTGTGCTCTTGGTTCTTGGAATAAAATCAGAGCCCTTGAGTCACAACAGTAGATTCAAAGTTACAGCTGAAATTGCTGCTAATGACAAAGAAAATTACCTTTTGAGTGCACAAAAGACCTCTCATGCCAACAACACACATATAGCCATACTAACCCCATGTTTCAAAATTAGTGCCCTTCTGACATATGCAGACTGTACCTTTCTTACATGTTAGTTAAAGGCCATGATAGCTAGGAATTCTGGCAGATGCAGTCCCACTAGGCCTGGAGGGTACAAGGTTGGATTAACACTTGCACCAAGCACTATTTCCTCCCCCTGCTCTAGTGCTAGTCCTGCCATTCTTCCCGTGGTCCATACCTCTTCTCCTCTTGGATGTTCTCAATGCCAATGGCACTACTACGTCTCCCATTGAAGCGGCTGCCTCGGTTGCGTGATGGGCTTCTCCCAGGCAGGGCAAAGGACTAGTGGAGAGGAAATGATAGAAAGAAAGAAAAAAAGAGGAAGGAGGAAGAAAGAAATAGAAAAGCACGAGTTGGAACAGGAGCAAAAGATGGAGAACTAGATTTCCAGATCCTGTCTATACATTTAACGCTAACAGATCAATCTGTCAAACTTAGAAAGCTAGATAAGCTAATTCAATAGAGAAAATGTAGAGCAAGGAAAGAAAAAGCAGTACACTAAAAACAATAAACTAGTAATTGCAGAGACAACAGTGAGAAATACTTTAGATATATAGAGTGATACTGGCGATGAGACAGTAAAGACAGTATAGATTGAAGGAGGAAGAAAAATAGAGAGAAAGATATACAGAGCCACAGTTTGAGCCAAACAAAGCACTAAAGTAAGTTTCAACTATCATTTAAAATGATGGTCTAATGTCATTCCCTTCCTGAATGTCCCCCTTCAAAATAAATTTGCATTATACCACTGATAACAAGCAACACCCATCTTGAACAGAATGTCACTATCTACCTGTCATTCTAGCATTTCTTTCCTGTGTACATAATTTCTCCAAATGGAACTTTCCTCTCCTGGCTTTCCTTCCAACAAGCAGTTTGGGACCTAGAAATCTACAGCCGTGGTCTGAGAAAAATAATTAGCACCTTGAACATAGATTTATAATTATGGGTCTCAATGCCATCTTCAAGTTAACAAAACTGTAGTCCCCTAAGAGGAGTGACTCCAACACCCAGGATTCATTGTAAGCAGCAACTTCACGTGCGTACATTGCTCCCAGACCTGCACGTTTAGTGTTGGAAGAAGGTCTTGTCCTTCATTAACAGTGGACTGAGCCATGGCTGAATGGAAGAACACATCATTTGAATGCACTAGATCCCAGCCAAAACCTCCCAAGAATATATGCGGCCAAGTCAGACCAACTAATAATCCACATATTTTCTCACACTAGTGACAACTCCATCCTAATTGCCCAAACTGTCTATAGGAGGGCTTTCTCCACATGCTTTCCATGCCTGTTAAACCAGAAATGTTCACTTGCACGCTTAGAAATCAACCTGAACTAGTTCTGTGCACATCATCAGGTTTAATGCCTGGTGAAAACTATTCCCATTTCCTTCATTTGAGGCTGTCAGATAATCACAAAACAGACTTTATTTGCTATATCCCCTATCAAATTATCCTTAATCAGAGCATGTGAAATTAAAGATTGAGAAAACTACCCAAACAGAGAACAGGGGAAATATTCTTTTTCATTTTTTTTAGAATTTCAGTATCATGACATTCAGTCTACTTGGGTCCCACCCAATTTGCACCTAATCTTGCATAAACATGCCCTGCAATCTCTTTAATCTCTGGTATGCCCCTGCAACATGGCCAGTCAGGAACACAATGAAATTGGCTGGCAATGAGAGGAAAGCGGGACCATGCAAGGAAAATTGGGATGGGTAACAGGGATAGTAAATGTCATGCTGGCATGGATTTCTGTTAGTGGGAGGAAAACACTTCAATTCAGCACCAGGGAAAGTTTTAGATGAATTGGATGGAGAATTGAAAACACAATGTTTTGATAGAATTGGTTTTACAAGGAAGTGCCATGAAGTCAGTGTTTAGACTTAGGACATTAACATGAAACAATCCCCAAGAGTTCCACCTGATTTTACACAATTATCTGTAAGAAATCACTTAGCTTGGTCATCTGGTGTTTTCAAGATGCCATTGATAAGCTCCTTCATTTAAACATATCATTGCTTACTAATTAAGCTTTGTTACTGAAGCCTCAAGGGATACTTAATTTTCTCCCCAGAGATAAAATGGCCAGGATGATCCATATTCTGACAACCATCAATCTTCCAGAAAATGCATATGACAACCTACTTTCATGTATGAAGCCATTTACAAATACAATTTCAAAGTTCCAGTGCTCTTCTTGCACAGCGTTGCCCATCTTGGGCCTTGGTTGAATTTCTCCCCCAAATCATCTTATTTGCATCTTGCTTCATCTTTCCCCAAAGCCCTCCTTTAATGCCACTGGCATCTGAGGCAGATGAGAAGCAATCTTTTGGTGTTAGGATAAAAGCTTATTATTATTATTTTTTGGCCTTTAAAATATATTTGTTACAGTACAATCTTTGTTGACTTTTACTTTAGATTATCTCCCTATTGTCAAATTCTTTCACTATACCACTTTTCACGTTAATGGAGTCGGGTTCCAAACACAGAGGACAATGACTGACAAATGGACACAGAGACATGAAAACAAATCCATATAGACATCTGAGGTATTTTTATTGAATTACAGCTACCAACAAAGAGCGTTGACAAGCAGCAAGTCTAGAGAAAAATGGGGGAGAAGGGGGCTTAAGACATGCTTATTAGCTTCCCCAGTCCCTAGCCCACAAAACCTTACCGCAGCAATGGCCTTGGGACCCTCGGCGACACTTTGGTTGAGGGCAAGGCCTGCAGTAGCTGGGCGGCTGGGTAGAGTTGCTTGGGGCTGCTGCTGCTTCTTCATGGCTATCCCCATAGTGTCCAGGCTCTGGCTACGGCCTCGGATCACCCGCTGAAGAGAAGGGCAACAGGGAAACAGACACAGAGACATTGACATACACACACAAGGAAAGCATGAAGAGTAGCAGAGATGCTGGTGGATAAAAACTGGGCGGCAAAGAAAACTAATCCTGGACTTCCTCTCACTTCTCTCAAGCAGAGAAAGCATTCCCCCCCGCCCCCCCAATATCCAAGTTGCCCAAACTATCCAAGGCTACAGTTTTTATTAAGAACTTTCTTGCTTTCCTCTAAGTGATACTGACCAGCTACAATCATGATTCTCTAGGGTAACTCTTTCCTCTATTGTATGAACCCTGAAGACGCAAACTGGGACACCAAATCTACATTACAGTACTGAGAGTAAGATGTTACCTTAAAAAAAAATATGAATGGATTTTCTAGCTTTTTATGGATAGTTCTATCTAGTCTGGTCAGCTTAGACCATGGAACAAGCAACACTTTATAATGAACTATTATCCAGAAAGAAAAGCAGAGGAGTCACATATCCTGAAATCCTGAATGTAAGCATCAATTACTCCTTTTCATGCTCTGAATGGAGGTTCCTCCCCCACTTACCCTGACATTTAACAACTTTCATGTCAAATTTAATATGTATCCTTAAGATAATATTTATCCTGAAGGTTCTTATCTGAAAATGTCATCAGTAAAAATTCAATTATCTTTTCTAAGGTAGTACTTCCACTACAATTACCGAAAAAATAATTATAAAATTAATTTAATAAAGTAAAATGATGGTACATTGAATTATAAACCAAGATCCTCATGACTTTCTCTTAATGGCATAGAAGAATAAAAGCGGTACTGATTTCCATGATGTTGGGAGCAGTTTTATATATAACCACTCTTCTTTCAATTTTTACTTCTGTAGGAAATGTATTTCTTTCAGCTATTCAACTGCTCTTCCACAAAAATTATATCATACCAGACAGCTTGTGTTGAAAGCTCTTTCCCCTGTCCTTCAATTTTTGTAATATTGACAGTGATAGTACTGATTTTATTACCTAATTTGGGTAATGAAAGTTCTGCAAGAAAACAATCAAGCTCAGAAAGCATCAATGGTCCCTCATTTCAACCCTACAACTATTCTCCTCTATTAAGACCATGACCTATTTTGACTTTGAGCTTATCCTGCCCTCGCACATTCCTTCCTCTAACCTAGGTCCAGGTGATATGTTTTATATCTGTGTACTGCTCAAGCACAAACCAAATTAAAGAATTAGAAATCCCATGTTACATGACTGTAGTTCAACCTTTCCTTAAAATGTTTCCCGGAAGTCAACTAGAAGTTGAAGTCTTCCCAATACAAATTAGCACATCCTGGGGCTATGTACTATTCTGTACGTGTAGCTATGTACTATTCTGAGATCCTATCAAAATTCAGATACTTGGCAACTGACTCATATTTTTGACAATTGCAGTGTCTTGGGGGCATGTGATCACCTTTTGCAACCTTCTGACAAGCAATGTCAATGGTGAGCTGAGATTCACATAACTACCATGTTACTTACTTACCAACTGCAGTGATTCACTCAACAACTGTGGCAATATGGTTGTAAAATGGGGCAAAATTCACTAAACTGTTTCACTTAGCAACAGAAATTTGGGACTCAACTGTGGTCTTCAACCAAAGATTACTTGTATAGATATGTTCTCAGTCTAAAATACAAAATAATTTTCTCTGTGATGGCATATGCCACAGAAGAAAAAAAACCCCAATGTAATATTTTTGGTGATGTGTAGACTGAGATCCTTCAAATCTTTGATCTGATTCATACATGAATTACCAACAAGTATGCATTTTTGTGCCACTACAGACTAGAGTTGGATTCCCTTTTCTAGGCCACCAATTTATTTCACTCAAATATACGTGTAATTGATCCTGGCTATTGCTACATAGCTGTGAAAAGGAATACCCTGTTAAACCACCTTTCAAACACAGGTAAAGGGGAGGCGGAATGGCAAGCAGAGGTGAGGAAACATGGATTATGATACCAGCTCTCCCCCTTATGTATACAACGCAGTGATGTTATTATGAAAAGGCAGTTCTTGTGCTGTGATATCACAACACACATTTCAGCATTTTTAGAATTAGCATCATCATGATTAGTGCTCCAGATTTCTAACATTATTTCTCCAATTTCTCATCCCCATTCTCCTCCACTGTATTCTAATGAGAGTAGGGGAGGCAAGACTACATAAACTGGACAAAAAGCCTGTTTGAAAATGTATACGTTGTTTCTATGTTTTAATAATTTATTGTTCACCAACCAGAGTCCATCTGTGAGGGAGATGGGTAGTTCCAAATTAAATAAAGTTTAACAAATTTCCCCTGGAATGTAAAATGTATTATATTTGAAGTATAAATGATTAAATGCACTTTCCCTTCCACATAATGATCAAATATACTTTCCCCTCCAGCTAATGCACAGATACATGAAGTAGGGATTTTCCATGGCCTTATTTTCCAACAAAAATCAATAGATCGATAGCTAGACCAGTACCTAACAGACTTTGAATTCTGAGGTAGGAAATTCTGGGGCTTCCTTCTCAGCTTTGAAATCCACACACACACACACACACCCCAACATAATATGAATCTATCTATTGCAGTTACAGGCCTATCTATTGCAGTATTTTAAGTGGCCAGATGTGCCTTTGCACAACTTACATATTGTGCACCAACTGTGTCCATTCTTGGAGTATGAGGCATCGTTTCCTGTCACTCATATGTTTAATGGTACTTCTGAGTGCAGTTCAAGGTGTTGATAAAAGACTTTCTGTTTATTAGGGAGTGCCCTATGGTGGGGCTAGGAAGAGAGCCTTTTCTAGTCAGACAACTTTTGGTTGGAACGCCCTTCTCTCAAGATTAAATTGCCCCTGACTCTGTTGGCCTTTTGCGCGCCTTTTAAAGACAAGTTTTTTTAGTCACTGGGCCTGGGGATCTGCATGTAGGTCTCAGTCCGAGCAATACCTGTGTTGTAAATTTTCTTTTTTTACCTTGGCTGAAGATTATATGTATGCTATTTTTTCTTTATTGGTACTAACCAGAGCAGCATCAAGTTAGTAAATACGGAAGGACATTGAGAAATTCAGCATTTACACCATCTCTCACCTTGAAATTCTCAAAGAAGCCACCACCCCCGTTCTCTATTTTGTCCTCATCCCCTGAGGCCAGGCCCATCATACTGCGGCTACGAATCTGCAGTTCTTCATAAAGGCTCTCCAAAAGTGCACTGCGGGTGCGGTCCTGCTCCAGGAAGAGAGAAATAAAGAGAAACATTGTTGTCAGAGATTGGAGTGCACCTGCAAAAGGGGAAGAGGCAAAACGGAAGGGCATTTCATGCCTGGATGGCTAACATAATCTAAATCCTTTCTTGGAGATTCAGCAAGAGAACTTCTGGGAAAGGAATGTCTTCATAGTGATGGTATAGAACAGTGGTCGCCAATCGGTGGGCCATGGATCACCGGTGGTCCACGAGAAAATTTTGGTGGACCGCAGAGAAATGTCACCCCCAACATTCCACAAAGCAATTAATCCAGGCTGCATGGGAACACAAGGCTTGCATCACTTGCATTGAGCACAACACAAGGTATGAGGGAAGGGGGGAAAGGGCAGAGGGGGGAAACTTGCCCCATTCGCCCCACGCGCCTGGCCTGGCCACCAGGCTGCTTCTTTCCACTTCTTTCTTCTTCTGCTTTTGGCTGCACACAAGGAAAGCTGCAGAAGTCTTTCTTTCTCTCCCCCAAACTGCACCAGAAATGAGTCCTTGGGACCCTGCAAGGCCTCCAGCTCCAAGACGCTGTGCCAGCAAAGACTCATTTCTGGCAGAGTTTGGGCAGAGAAAGAAAGACTTCCGCTGCTTCTGCTGCTTTCCTTGCATGAAGCCAAAAGTCTCTCTCTTCCTCTCTCCCTCCCTCCTCCTGAGAATGGAGCTGGAGACAGTATCTTGTGATCCCAAATCAAGAATGATCAATTGGTAGGAAAACAGGGTGGGTAATTTTCCTGCAGACGTTTTTGGGGATTTTCCCAGGATCTCTGGTCTGCGGGATTTAAAATTTTGAGTTTGGTGGTCCCTGAGGTCCAAAAGGGTCTCTTCATCCACTCCCAGCTATTAGGAATCCAAAATATAATTTTAACATTGGGAGAAGTTTTCCAGAGCAGATATTTCAGCAATTTATAATCATTGCTTAATTGTGCATTTCCATTTCATATATTTTGTTTCATACAGATATTTGCTTGGGAAGTTATTAATAGAAATGTATTAAGTAACCAGACTTACTTCCAACTTGGCAAATTTCTCAGCGTGGTAACAGCTATACTCCGCATTGATAAGCTTTGCCAGAAGAAATTCACGGAAGTCTGTGCCCTGTAGGGAGGAAAAAAGGAAGGCTCCTCCATCATGTTGGGCATTCGGTAGCATCTCCTCTCACTTTAACCAACGAGAGCTACATCCATTCTGGTTTAAGAATGGAGGGTTTGGGAATGCTTTTTAGCAAGCCAAATTCACATGGACTCTAGAAATATAAGAGCCCAGAGAATATTGATTCCATTCACAGCATACACTTGATGAATGCACTGAAATATACTTTAATACAGCCTTGTTTGGACTGTGTAGCTATAAAGTTGTTCTCTCCCACAACAATGTACATGATTCTCATAGGGAAAAAAATCCTCTTCTATATAAAAAGTGTGTGAGCTTTTCTTCAGGTGTGGAATTCTTTTGCACAGAGGAGAACGCAGACAGCAGGAATTTGTATACAGGTAGTTCTTAACTTACAACAGTAATAGAGCCTGATGTTTGGAAAATGGGACACCTAAGTGTCTGACCTGGATTTTATGATCTTTTCTATGTTGGTTGTTAAACAATCAGTTCACTACAGGCTTTTTTTTTTGCCAAAAATCAGAAGTAAATGCCACTTTTCAGTAAAACATCGTAACTATGTGACTGTGGGACATTGCAAATAGTCATAAATACTGGCCAGTTCCCAATAAATGCAATCACATGACTGTGGGGGAGTGGTTGTTGGAACTGGATTGTAAATACTCCTGGGAGATCTGTCATAACTTTGAACAGTAGCTAAGTGACCAGTCATAAGTCAAGTACTACCTGAAAAATCCAAGGGATTTACTTATCCGAGGTTTCACTGAAGAATTTCAATTGATCTTGTTGCCTCAGGATATATATTGAGGACTGTGTAGAACATGAATTCTGTCAATGCTCTCTCTGTTCACTATATCTTTCAAGTAGTTGCACCTATCACACCTATGACCTAGGAACAGCACATACAAATCTATAAAAAATTTCCTTGCTCCTAATTGCTGAGTCCTTACTGCAGCAAACTCTAATGTCTTGCAGCTGGAATTTGCTCTGTACTTCACTGTTGGACATATATTGAAACATTCCCCAAATCTGAAAAAATAAGCTTCAGGTTTGCCCAGGCAGATCTAAAAATAGAAAAGCAAGATTTGTTTGAAAGAATAACTGCATGATGCTGTTACTCTTGTTATTAACTGGTTCACTGTTTGACAATGTGAAATGAACTGCAATCATTGCCTCTGAATTGGCTGTTGTATTAAAAGGGGAAGAAGGATTATTACTCATGTACAATCAAACTGCACATCACAGATATGAAGAGTTAGATCCCTAAGAGTATTTGACATCATGTATGATTTTCTCAGTCCTGGATAATCTGTAGAAATATCAAGCCTGCAGTGCTGGAAAAAGCTGTTCTAGGGATAGACATACCAACCTTTTTGAATACTGCTGGATTTGGAAGAGGAGGCCCAAAAAAGGGAACATCATCACGGGCAGTCACAGAAACCTGAAACAATCATAATTAACAGAGTTAAGAGAGAGCAGAAAGATCACTGCAGCCTTAAGACAAGAATTAAGAAGTTACATTTCTGCCAACCAGTCTCCAAAGCATGGAATTGGCAACACTCCAGTTACAGGTTTCTTTTTTTTATGTCACATTGACTCAGGACAAGAAGGAAGCATTGTAAAACTGGGTTTAAAAAAATCAAGCAGTTGAACAAACTATTTTTTAAATTGAATTTTTGATTTTAGTTCTTTGCAGTTTTAACTTTAATTTATTATGCGGCTTTGATAGCTTTTATATTTTATCCAATTATACACCCCAATAAATTTCCAAATTCCATGGGCAGGGAATTTTGTCTACATTTCACATACTTTCCTATTCTACTACCTCTTACAATATTAGGCAACATAGTATCAACAATAGATGTCTTCAAGTTTCTAGTAGTTTCTATTATCTCCAAGGGCTTGGAATGGACACCTAACATTAGAACCATCATTAAAAAGGCACAATAAAGAATGTTCTTCCTGTGTCAACTTAGAAATCTCAGATTGCCCAAAGATCTGCTGATACAGTTCTACAGAATAATTATTGAGTCTGTCATTTGTACCTCAATAATTGTCTGTTTTGCATAGCAACCAGACAGGAGAGATACAGACTTCAATGGATAGGACTGTAGGAAAAATAGTCACAACCAGCCTGCCTTCCACTGAGGACCCGAATAATGCACGAGCCAGAAAGAAGACTGAGAAAATATCTACAGGCACCTCACATCCTGAACACAATTACTCTGACCATGTTATGGCTAATGGATACTTTTTATTCTACTAATAGATAGAAGAAGAAATACATATATTTTATTTTTGTTGAAAAATGAGAGGAAAATGGATTGGAAATTCTGAAGAAAGAGAAGCGAGAACAAGGTGTTTCCCCTTGACCCCCGTTTAGTCTTCCCAAAATAAAATAGCTACATATGAGCATAGACTAATGGTTGTTGCTGAGGAATAAAAGAAGGATAGTCCAGCAATAGTGACAATAGAAAAGTTAGAGAATGATAAAACAGGAACTCAGAATGCAGCAGGCACTGTAATGCCACAGAATATTCTATGGCTTCCCCAGGAATGATAAATTGTGGACTGTGTGTCTTTACCTTGTACAGAGTCTCTCCACTGGCATTGTGATGGAGTTGCACCACCATATAGGCATGTAGAAAATTTGATGCAATCATATCGGGCACAAAAGGAGTATTTTCATCTTGGAAGACAATGGCCACAATATCATTCCCGATGTGGCGCTTACGTTGGAGCTGAAAGGGAACAAAGAAGATTGCATAAAATGGCATCCTATCCTATCCAGTTTAGGCAATCCTCAAACTAAATCCATCCTATTCCAAATTGAGGCATGTTGGTAGCAAGCTCTAATCTGCCCACAATCACCTTGTAAATGATGGATGGCATAAAAATGTAATAAATAAATTAATAAATAAAATAAAAGGTTTGTTAATCTACAACTCGAAATTTTCCTCCTGCCTATCCTGACATTCTTTGCAATTTCTGTTGCTCAAAAACAATGGTGCCATTCTATTATTTTGGAACAGGAAACCAGAAACCTAAATCTAAACTTAAAACTGTAGTGTAAATCCTAAAATAGGCTTAATGGTGTTTAGAAAGAAAGAATACTTGCCAAATTCCTACCCACCAAATCTAAGAAATTACAAAAATCATAGCTCCACCAGTATACTGCAGAGACTGTGGCCTTTTTCTAAAGGTTTGTTCAGTCCTGGGTCAGGGTTTGGATATCAAATTCTGTAAGACAGAATATGTAAATATTTTGCACCTATATACAATACATTTTATTTTATCTTTTTTCATATAAGAAAAGACGCAGGACTGAAAATGACCATAATCCAACTAAACTGGGAAATTTATGAATGACTTCAAAATATCCCATGTAATAGAATTTGAATTTAAGACTAGATCCTGAATCCTGGTTTGTCATTGTCAAATTCCAACTCATGCACAGCTCAAAATTAGATTTAAGTGCAGAGGGTTTTTTTTTATTTACAATCAACAATTAGCAACATTACAAAAACATATCAAACATAACAGAAGCATGGTTGTCATTGCAATGCCTAATTTTCACTGCTACTATAGTATATTTGGCAAGCATGCTGAAATGTTTGGGTCTAAAAAGAAAGCAATTTAACACATTCATTCTGGCAGAATATTAGTATAAGATGGCCAAAAGATTACACAGAGATCCCTGTAGATACAATATAATAGAACACACTGCATTGTTTCAATTTCCCTGGTCATATGAGGAAATGCACTCTACTAATAGGGTTTTAGGGTATACATCCTGCAATCGCTGAGAAGGGAGTTCATGCTGGCTTCTCATTCTGGGAAAAATAAGCAATTTCGATAATTTGAAGGTTCCCAAGGAGATTTTGCAGCCCATCCCAATTCTACTCAACATACCTGCTGGGCATCTCCCTCTGTGAAAGGCAACATTGTAGAGACATGGAACATAATCTCTTTGCCCCGAAAATTTGTATAGATGGATTCTGCTCCCGTCTGACCTCTTGTAACATCCAGTCCACCTCGGAAGCTGAACAGAACAACAGAGAGAAGATAAAAAGAAAGCCAAGAGAAGAAGGACAAAAATTAGGTTTCTTTTATTAGCACAGATGGGGACCCAATCCATGCTTGCAGTAATTGCATCTACTACTATCGGTCAAAATTTTAGTCCGAAACATATCTCAGGAAAAAAAAATAGGCCACTAAGGAAACCTATAGCCATATCAGTGAAGATTGTTATTTGCTTCATTTCCCTTCTATTTTCAATATTTGAAAGGAATGAATTAACCCCCCCCCCACATTAGCATATTGCAGCACCTTTCCATCATTTGGGGTGAGCTTGAGCCAGAGGGGCTGTTTTAAGATAGTGAAGATAAACTAACTCACTTGTGAGTCAGTGTGGTGTAGTGGTTAGGGCACCATGCTAGAAACCAAGAGATCGTGAGTTCTAGTTCTAGTCTTCTGCCTTGGGTACTAGCCAGCTGTGTGAGTCATTCTCTCTTAGCCTTGGAGCAGGAAAGGGCAAACTACTTCTGAAAAACTTTGGCAAGAAAACTGCAGGTATTCACTTAGGTGATTGCCAGAAGCCAACACTGATTTGATGGCGCACACAGATGCAAACAGAGCCACAAGGAACCTGCAGAGGAGTTTATTTCTTGTGGGTCCTTTTCTGCTGCACGCGTTTTCTGCTGCAGCTCCTGCCATATGAAAGATCCTCCCCATTGAGATCCATCAGGCCCCTATCCTTCTGTCATTCTGGAGAGGGCTTAAAACATGGCTCTTCCATCAGGCTTTGGGATAGGGCAAGATCAGGATATGGATACACTAGCAGAATAATTGTGGTGCCATGACTTTCTAGTGTTGTTGGTTTTATACTGTTTTATCACTTGTAAAGCCACCTAAATTTGTTTTTGAAGATGGAGGGTTATAGAATGTTCTAAAATAAGTAAATAAAAATATTTCTTGGGTGGGCTCATCCATTGTGCTAGCCTGAAAACCAAAGAATTACAGCATGGTTTATCATCATAGGCAAACCATGAGGCTCTACAAGGATGAGAACAGGTCTATTCTCAAGTGCTAACAAGTATTCTGAGTCATTTTGTACCTTTCAGGACCAGTGGGAAATCTTCCCTGTTGGCCTCCACTGTGAATCATGCCTGACTGAAGACATCTCTCCATGAATGAGTGGAAATGATGACTGCTGTATAGATTGAAAGACTGGTGGGTAGACCGGTCCTTCAAAGCTCTCCAGAGATGGAGAGAACAGGAGATTGCCCAGAAGTGCTCTGAAAGGTAGTGCCTCATAAACAGATAATAAAACAATGGCTTCCTATCGGTTAGAGTGCCAGGAGCTGAGGAAGACAACATCTTTGCTCTCAGCAAAGGTAGAGCCTTTAACAAGGGCACTAAACTAGTTGAACCTCACTTTCTAATCCTATTTGGAAATGTTCAATTTAATGACTTTATGGATACTAGGGACCTTCAAAACGAATTTGGAACCTGTGACTTTTATTTCTTTTGATTTAACAAAACTTAAATGGGGAAATAAATTTTAAGCATTTAAAATAAAATACAATAAGCAAAAAACAAAGAAAAACTTTTAAGAAAGTTAAATGGATTGGGAGACTAGGAGTGTTGGCTATTTTTGCTAAAAGATCTGAAAAACAAGTAGATAATTAAATAATATACTTGTTGAAAATGACTAAAAGGGAAATAAACCCCTATTAGGAATTGAAGCTTGATGAAGATTGCAAATGGACACTAGAGGGAACCAAAGGGCCAGGCAAACAAATGAACAAATAAACAAAAAAAACCCAGTGGCTATAACCTTTTTCTTATCTTAGAATTTCTGGATAAGTGGGATCAAAATGTTAACTAAAATCTCAGAATAAATACAAATTTCATTGGATAAATTTTTAAAAGATGAGAAAAAAATTAATTTTTTTAAACAGGTATGTACATTATAAAGTTTGAAAGCATGGAAGACAACAAAATTGAGATCCCCAAAATGGGAATACAAAGGACAAATCAAGAAAAAGAATCTGGACATGGAACAGCTGCAATAAGAATCCCGCACAAGGTGTCTTTATGGGATCTATCAGTAGGCTGGAATGTCTTGAATGCCAAAGACTGTTGAAAAATCAAATCCATTGGAATGATTTAAAGGATAAAATTGTGAAGAGCAAAAAGAAAGAAGTTGGACTCTTTGATCAGTGATAAATAATTTGTTTAATATTTCTGGTAACTCCTAATGGACTTTTGCTGAAGCATCTGAAAAAATGACATTATATGAACTGCGGATAAATAGTTAGGCTATGGGGATAAGGGTTTTATTTGTAACTTTAAAAGAGGTTGAAATGCTATATTATCTTATGCTTGGTGTGACAAAGCTTGGAAGACGTCTGTTTTTTTTATTATTGTTGCCTTTTTCTTTTCTGCCTTTTCCTTTTGTTCTTTTTTCCTGCACTTCCTGCACATTTTCCTTCTAGTTTCGTTTGTATTAGTTTTTACTGGGTTTATTAAAAACTTCAATAAAATTATATTTTAAATTGTATTTTAAAAAGAAGGCCATCAAGGACAATACAGGAAAGATAATTTGGTAGTAGGGCTAACGTGGAAAGCACTTACCCACGAAAATCCTGCAACTGGATCCTGTCACCTAGGAGAGCTAAAAACTCTAAGAAGCCTAAACTCTCTTCTGTATTACTGAAGACTTCTTCCTCTGTGGTCTGGGGGTAAAAAAAGAGAAGAAAAGAAAGTGGGAAGAGACAGACATTTCTCATTCTTTCTTAAATTATCCTTTTTGTACAAAAGATGCAAGTCTGAAATGCTGTATAGCTGAGGTGCTCAGGTCCAATCACAGTCCTGGCTAATTCTGAACAAGCCACTTTCCCAGCCTTGTCAACCTCTTTAAAGAATTGTTATAAGAGTAAAATGTATTTGGGATGAAATATGCACTCCAGTGTTTGCTTTTCAAGAAAAAAAGAATATAACAAAATGTAAGTAGAAAAATAAACCCTTTTTCTGTTCAATACTTCCTCATTGTCCCCTGTCCAACAGAATGATGAACATACTATGCTGGTTTAGGCTGGGCCTAAAGACATTGAGACAGTACCAAGCTGCCTTTTTTCTTGGTTGACCCATAACCCCCATGGAGCCTATGAAAAACACTTTCTGGTTTTGCAGTTCCAATGATATTGCACTGAAATTAAACTTTATGTTATTTATAGCACAGCCTTAAATACACAAGAAAAGTGATTTTGATGTTGATTCTAGTGGTTCTTGGCTCAGGGCCCTTCAGGATGTCTCATGAGAATCCTGACAGAACATTAAAGAGCAACACCAGAACAATTGTCTATTCAAAGTTAACATGGGTGGGCTTATAAGTCTTCTTGAAGGACCTCCCTCCCCTTTATCTGATCAGCTCTTCAAACAATAACAAAGATTTTCCAGACTGAATGTGTTTGACTTGAACATGGAGCTGAAAACTCAGTATCTACTTTACTCTAGCCTGAAAAACTCTTTCTTTATGGTGGGGAAAAAAAATCACAACTTTTCGGTGTGCCTCATTTCTTTGTGTGGCAAGCATACATTTACTAATTGATGACTGTACCCAACCCTGTCATTCCTGTGCAGGTTTTAAGAAAGATGCAGCCAAACTAGATGCAATGGGGGAAAATAAATGTTAGGTTTACAGGAAAGGTAGGAGGCATATCCAGTGTCTGCCTGCATGAAAAGTCTCTACTAATCTATGTTTTACCATTTTAGAAAAATGTTAATTTCATTTAATTTTTTTATCACTGTTTGAATACTCATTTTCTATTCTATACTTTAAAACAAAAGCATGATGATACAGATGTTGACAGAGTTAATTGTGCTGTAAGCTGCAAAGCTGTGGAATCAGGAAACCTTCTCAGATCAAAATGTTCTGCAGACTATTTTCCACTTGAAACGAATTTAGCAGTTTCAAAACTATATGGAATTTGATTATCTATTGCCCAACATTGTTTCCAATACTATGTACATTAAAAGCTTTTAACTTCTTTGAATGTACAGTTGATGCTTCATCAAACAGACTAGACTTTGATTTTTCCACATCAAATAATATAGTCCAAATACACGTGCAGGATATTAAAGTGGAATCATATTCATTTGCAGAAGAAAAAAAATCCTCTAAAAATTAGAGTCTACATTTCTAATAATAGGTATACTACAGTATAATTTTCCACTGAGATTAAGGAACAAAAGGCAATTGACCTTTTCTTCAAAAAGAGTCACATGTGTCCTGAAATGGCTCCAACCTTTGAAGCAACTTTTTTCTACCAACCTTGCCTGTTATTTCTCAATGCTCCCGTTTTCGATTACTGAAGATAAGGCAGAAGTGACTGAGAAGAGCGGGCATAAGATTAACAACAAAGAAGTAACTCTATATAAGCAGGAGAAGAGAGGGAGGATGCAATGGAGGGAATGGAAGTTTGGCTCCAGTTTCCCCACAGGTGTGAGCATGAAAAATATTTTTACCTGCCCAAATTTTTGGTAGATGACACCAAACTTGAAGTTATTGCTGATGACATGTTCATCAAATGCAACAATGAGTTGGGAAGCCTAGGAGATGGAGAAAAAGCTTGAGTTAGCAGGCAGCTGGTTGGAGAAAAAAATATTTATATGGTACATTCAGAAACATACAGGGGTTACCTTAGGATACAGCACAGGGAAGAAGCGGTCAACATTCACATCTTCACAGAGCAGCTGCAAGGCAAAGTAGGAGGACTTAGCTTTCCTTATGTAGGAACCTGACTTCCTAGCTAGCCAAAAGACAAAGGCCATTATGATTACTACGAGTCATAGGAGGCTTTGTATTTTCAACAGATTTGCATTTGCAAGGGATTTGTCTTTTAATTTATTCCTTCTCTTGTTCAATTATTAAACTCACATTTATAAATTTTCAATGCAATTAAATGTGGGTGTTTGAAATTAAATGCGGGTTTTAAATGGGTAATTGGTTAAAATGTCACACTTTTTAAGACTGGATGAAGCATATATTATTCTTGGGAGTTTTACATGCAAGTTAGCTGAAAAAAAAAATCATTATGCTTAGTTCCCCAAGAATAAACTTCTTAATAATTAATGTCAATACTTCTCTTCCATTCATCTTACAAAAGTGCCAAAACAAAGAGTTGCCAGGTTGGAGAAGATTGCTGCATTAGGTGAATGAAAGTAAAGGATTCCATGGGCCAAGGAGCCCATTCAACAGAAAAGGAGCCAGAAAGCCAAGATCTAAGTTATTGGAAGGTTTATCATGAGAAAATTGGATATTCATGCCCTAAGCTGTTTAGGAATGCCAAGGTCAAAACCAAAAATTTTAATGGATCCAGTATGCAATTGGAAATCAATAAAGATCTCTCAATTGAGGCATCTTATGACTGATGTTCCTTGCAGTAATCAGTAGCTTGTCCAATGCAATTTACATCAGTTGCAATTTGTAGAAACTGTTTAAGTGCAGCCCCACAAAAAGCAGTAGTTGGGACAGGATATATCTAAAGTGTGATTAGGATTGTAGGAATGACTGGCAATTAGTCCACTGCTTATAGTTGTGCAAACATGCTTCTCCCCACAGCTATCCCCAACTGAATGACATCTCAAATCAGGGAACTTTCCTAGACTGGAAATCTGCTTTTCTGGAAGAGAACAGTGCCATTCCAAACATGTTCCATTTTAAACCTAAAGTCACACATTTTTCTTCCCAATAGCACCTCAACGTTTTTCAGCTTGTTCTTCTCCATCCAATCTGAGTTCAATCAACATTCTAAGTACTAACAGCTTCCTTTGAAATTAGGAGTGCAGAACTGACATCATGACATTACAAATTTGGCAATGACCTCCCACAGCAGTTTCAATTTCTATAATTTCAAAGATTTTCCAAGTCCAGGAAGGACTTTTTAAAAAATAAAGTTTATGTAACTGAGATCTTTAACTAAAGGGAAAGACATATATCTCTCAGGGAAGAATTAATCACCTTCCACAGTCATAAAGCTAGTTCCATACTCAAGCCCTGGATTTCCTTAAATGCACTCAGCTTTCCTGATAAACCCAAGGTGCTGCTGAAAGAAGAGAGCCATAAGAATCATATAGCCAACTTTGTTCCAGGGTTGGCCAGGGTTTTAACAATATGGCTGATAGGTGAGGCAGGAAATTCCTCAAGTACATCCAAGAAATTTCCTGATCCATCAGGGACCTAGATCTAACCAATTCAGTAGATCCTTCATTCCTGTAGAGATTTATAGCAGCTTCCCCTTCTTCGCTGTTTCTCCACTATGGAGAGATTGTAGAAATATATTGATTTGGATCAGTGATTTTGTATGTGGACAAATGTGAAGGATAGGGGTATAAGAGCAGCATATATCTTCATGTGTATGTCTGTTATGAACAGTAAAGGTTTTCCACCCAACCTTTGACAGCATGTTAACTATCAAAACTTGAAGAGGTGCTGCAATAACGTAACTGAAGGAATCATGGTTTTCATGGAAATTTTAAACCATCACAGGGAAAACAACATTAAGCAGAGACGTTAAATAGCAAAAGCCCAAGCCAGGCTTTGGTAGTACAAGAACAAAGTTTGAAGTACTTACCTTGGCCATTTGGACAGCATTAGGAAACTCTGTCAGGCAGGATATGGGAATGAGATCATGCTTGGTAGAGGCTCGAGCTCTATTTGAGCAACAAGAAGAAGCAGAATAAATTAAAGGGCAACCAAGCAATCATTCCTGATGAGCTACAGCCACTTTTCTCTCACCACAATCTAATCTGCTGGAGAAAAAGACACACAGTGGCAAATTCTGCTACAGGTAAATTAATTGTGTTGAATTAGACCAGTCCCACTGGGGAAAAAAAACCCCATGTAAATTAATTATTACACTAATAATGAGACTTGTGGATATTTCTTACATTGGCAGTAATGAAACTGAACCAAACAAGTCACTGAGAAAAGCTTTAAAAACAAATTGGGACAAGGACCGGCAATTGCTGATTTAAAATAAGCTTTAGAAAACCAACCAACATAAGAACTTACTGAAAAGGCTGACTAGCCCTGTGATATCATGAGGGTGGTGGCATCAAAGGGCAGTTTTACCTCAGCAGCAGATGAAGATTGTCTTGCCCTTCAACCTGTTCATACTTCACAGAAAGAACCAAGTAGCCCAAAGCTGAATCATTGGCATAAAAATTCTGATGCTCCTAAAACAAAGACATCAAAATGCTTGTCTTACCTTACGATATTCCAAAATAAGTAAATAAATGATCAGGCTCTGTCTCTCCTACAAAACCCATGTATAATGTAACAAGAGAGCGTCAGTTTGCTGTAAAGAGGTGAAGGCATCAGGCTAACTTTGGAGACTAGCAGTTTTAGTCCTGCCTTAGGCACAGGGCTAGCAGGGCCATCTTAGGCCAGTCATTCTCTCTCAGCCCTAGGAAGTAGGCAAGGACAAACCACTTGCCAGGAAAACTGCAGAGATTTGTCCAGCAAGTAACCAAGAATCAAGACTGACTTGAAGGCACTCCCTCCTTTCACACCTCCAAAATAACAAGAGAGTTGTGGTAATATGCCCAAGTGCTGTGCTACTGTGACATAGGTACTTTCTCAAGGGGACAGCATATTGCAGGAGTTGCCAATGGAGTTCTGTCTAGTGGCCATCAGTGGTACTTTCAAGGACTTATATAGAGTCCTGGCATTTTTTTTACAATACTTTTGAATTTTCTGTGTCTCTCTCTTTTTCAGGACTGGATATCCCTAAGATGGAGTGAATATTCTGTCAGGAGAGCCTCAAAGGTTTTCTACATACACATTTATTGGGGAAATATTGAGAGAACAAGACTGCTCTGCTTCTAGTGGCGTTTCTAAAACACTACGACGCCATATTTTTAAGCATAGGAATGGAAGCTTTCAGTTTTGCTATTTACATTGATCTAAGTAGTTCATTGCTTATTAATCTATGTTATATCGTTTTAGTGGGGCTTTTTTGTTTTGGCTAGTTAGTACTGAAAGCTAAGTAACTCATTATGCAAATACTTTTAACAAACTAATAATTTAATAAATAAAAATAATCAAAGAATTTTGGGTGAAAAAGAAATTACAATTACTAGGCTTACTATCAATGATTTATAAAAAAAATATTCTAAATTGTATAGTGCCAATTCTTTACCAATTGAAGTGAGCTTTCTACATTTAAATCAGGACCAGGTTTCTAACCTTACTTCACTTTTTTTGCTTCAAGAAATTGTCATAATTAAATTCCTGAAATTGGGGAAGTCCTCCAGACTTCATGGCTTTTCAGTGGATTGGTACAAAATGTATATCAGCTATTTATATCTTTTATTTTACTACAGGCATATTGTAGCTTTTCAAAAGAAAAATCCCTGGCTTTTAATCAAATACAGTTATGATGGAAAATTATCCCTCTGTGTTCTAATTATAGCTATATTTCCTTGATAAATGTGGGAGTTAAGTTTTTAAAAGCTGCTTTGGCCCACAAATTATAGCTTGTTCTTCTGACTACTGAATACCAGTTCAGGCTGGATTTGTGCATGACCATAAAAATTCTGGCATTATTGAAGTTTTTTTTAACCTGATGTTTAAAATAGACAGGACTCAGCAACTATAATATAGCTTTCTTGGATGCTGAAAAGTCTTTGATGAGGTTTTTGAGTTTGGTTTTAACTCATTTTGGGCTTCTCTGTAAGTTTAGACATTTGATTGATATTGTCAACTCTACCAGTAAATCATAGGTGAAAATTAATAATTATTGTATAAATGTATTGATCTATGCCAAGTTATACACCATGGAAATGTTCTCACAAATTCTGAATTCTTAATGTATTCTCTCTCTCACATACACACAAGGTTGTATTTTATAGACAGGTTTTCATTAATTAATACATGCACAATATCCTGTTTGGTTATTCTATAAATTAGAGGAAGTCAGGCTGGATCCCACTGGATCATAGGAACAATTCTGACAAACAGATGGATTGATGGATTGTTTTATATGCATTTAGACTTCATTTCAATACTGAATGTAATGTAACAGATATGTTGAAAACCCTGTGTTGCCAATGAATTTTCAGCTCTTTTAACAATGAAAGTGTTATATTATGGAATAATATGTTGGCTAATTTAATTTTGCATAAAATTGGGGCTATTTATAAATACTACTTTGGATCAGTTCAATTTTGAGAGACATTTTAAATACTTTTTGGAAAATTAATAAATTAACGTTTCATTTGTTGCATGCTTTGGCAGTTCATTCAACTCAAGCATGTGTCCAGATACTACTGTTCTTTTTTAAGATGTATAGTGGTTGTACCTTATGGACTGGGGTGGGCTTCAAAAATTTCAGCAACGGGTTCTCTGCCTGGTTGCTGGGTGGGCATGGCCATGGTGGGCAAGGCCTAGTCGGCCTCCTGCACCATGGCAGAAAGGCATTTTTGCCCTCCCCGGACTCCAGAGGTTTTCTTTGACTCTCTGGGAGGGCGAAAATGACCTCCCGGGTTCTGGAGGCTCTCTGGAAGCTGGAAACAGGCCCGTTTCTGGCTTTCCCGAACTTCTGGGAGGCCTGTTTTTCCCCCCCCCTCCCTGAGCCTTCGCATGTGCCCTGCACTTACCTGTACCCCAAATGGGCCGCGTGGAGACTCCTGGGAGGGGTGGGGCAGGGCCAGTCAGGGCCAGTCAGGAGTGGGATTTGGGGCTTCTCTGAATTGCGCAGAATCTTAGCTAGGGGTTCTCCTGAACTTCTGCGAACCCCCAGCAGCCCACCACCTGCTTATGGAAGAACTAAATATGGCTCCTAAGTCAGTAAATCTTTGGAGAGTTGAAGGAAGTTGATATTAGTTTTGTGTGTGACGTCGAAATAATAAGCTGGAGTTTGTCTTAGTGAAATAGTAAAGAGTTACTTCAAATAACATGAAATTAGTTTTTTATGATCTTAAAATGAGATTAATTTTTGAAATCTTCATGTTTATTGCATATCTCAAAAATGTTTAATAAGGATTCATTGCAATTGTCCTGCTAATAAGGACTGTTTGCAACCAGGAGTTGGAGCATTAACACATGGCATTGCACTTGTCCTATTATTGTCACATTTGGGTCTAATATTAGCAGGATAAATACATTACTGTTGATAAATGTTAAGCATACAAGATGCTTATGTTTTTCTTGATTCTAATTATCAGTACACCTTATCAGAATGTATCATAAATCAAAACATCAATAATTTTGACTTTGAAGGACAAAGGATCAGCTAAGCAAGAGCCATGGTGGTGCAGTGGTTAAAATACAGTACTGCAGGCTACTTCTGCTGTCTGTCTGCAATTTGGCAGTTCAAATCTCACCAGGGGCTCAAGGTTGACTCAGCCTTCCATGCTTCCGAGGTGCATAAAATGAGGGCTCAAATTGTTGGGGGCTCTGACTCTGTAAACCGCTTAGAGAGGACTGTAAAGCTCTATAAAGTGGTATATAAGTGCTATTGCTATTGCTAAATGGTGGAATAAAAAAAATCTAATCCTGATTTACAAGGTATGTCTTGTTTGTTTGAATCTGAATTCATTTTTTCCAGCACAGTGCAATACTTTCAAGCAATAGAAACAAAGTTCTGGAACTGCTCTGTTCACTACGTAATTTCTCAAGCTTTTTTTGTTTTTTATTATGATGTTGATTAATTTTGAAGTTATATTATTCTAGAAATATTGCTCTCTCTATATCATTTCTACTCTACTCTCTTCTACTCTACTATAGTAGAGTATTTTAGTATTTAGTATTTCTTTGATTTGTCAATCGCTTACAAGATACAGTTATAAGAATAAATATAGTTTTGAATACATGAGATAGATATTTATAAGAAAAATAAAAAATAGGACAGGGACGGTAGGCACGATTGGTGCGCTTATGCATGCCACCTACAGGCCTCTTAGAAAGGGGGTGAGGTCAATAGTAGACTGTCTAAGGTTAAAGTTTTTAGGGTTTGGAGGAGAAACCAGAGAGTCAGGTAGAGTATTCCGAACATTGACCACTCTGTTGCTGAAGTCGTATTTTCTGCAGTCAATTTTGCTGCAGTTAACCTTGAGTTTGGATCTATTGTGTGCTCTTGTATTGTTACGATTAAAGCTGAAGTATTCATTTGCAGGTAGGACATTGCAATGCATGTTTTATATACTATATTTAGATCGGACCGGAGCCTGCGTAGTTCTAGGTTTTCTAGGTCTAGAGTTTCAAGTCTGGTGGCATAAGGTATTCTGCAATGAGTAGAGGAGCGGAGAACTCTTCTTGTGAAATATTTCTGGACTTTTTCAATTGTGTTCATATCAGATACATGATATGGGTTCCAGACTGATGAGCTGTATTCAAGTATAGGTCTAGCAAATGTTTTGTATGCTCTAGTTAGTAGTGTGATATTACCAGAGAAGAAGCTACGTAAGATTAGGTTAACAACTCTTAATGCCTTTTTGGCTATGTAGTTACACTGGGCTCTAGCACTTAGATCATTTGAGATGAGTACTCCAAGGTCCTTGACAAAGTTTGGATCATCAACAAGGTTTTGATTATTTAGCTTGTATTTTATTTTCTGATTTTTTCTGCCAATATGTAAGACAGAGCATTTATCTGTTGAGATTTGAAGTTGCCATTTGATTGACCATTCCGATACATAGTCAAGGTCTTTTTGGAGGGTAGTAGTATTGTCTGTGGTGTTGAGTAGCTTTACATCATCAGCGAAGAGAACGTGGTTGCTCTTAATATGATCACAGAGGTCATTTATATAGAGTATGAAGAGAGTTGGTCCTAAAACACTGCCTTGGGGGACACCACTGTTGACAGGTACAGAATTTGATAGGATGCTCCCAATTTTGACCATCTGTTTTTTGTTTGACAGGAATGCTTCTATCCAGTTATGCAGGTGTCCAGATATACCATAAGATTTTAGTTTTAGGAGTAGTTTGTCATGTACCACTGAATCAAAGCCTTTACAGAAGTCTATGTAGATTGCGTCTGTTGCTTTGCCCTGATTGAGTACTCTACTCTACTATAATAAAATTAAAATTTGAGTTGACATAGTAAATTTCAAGTTTGAATCTCTAATAAAATTACTTGAAAAGTAACATTTTTAACATCGATGTATAATGTTTTGCTTTTTTTAATCAAGTTGTATCCACAGATTTATATTGCAAATTATTACAAAGAAAACCCTAAAATATAAAGGTTTGGAGTATATTAAATAATATAAACTTTTACCTTTCCTAGGAAGTGTTTGCGGTACAGCTTTGCTGTTGGATCACACTCCAACCTCACTTTGCCACTGCAAGGAGACGGCAAGTCTTGCAATTCAGGGCCTGATACAGGAAGGCTGTGAGAGGTCCCTTCAATCCAGTAACCCCCAAACTGTGGTAAGATGATTAGAGGGTATGGCCAACCCCTCTGTAATACCTTTTAAGAAAGAAGGCAGGGGAATCTGCACTTGCATTTGAAATTAATCAAATTCCATAGCTGTACATATTGAAACACTTTAAATCACCCCTTCACTTCTTCCAGCTGAATTAGATTACAACTTTTATCACACATATCTCAACATCCTCCTTCTACTTCAGAGCCCAAGGAGTTCATCCTCCTGAAAGCGCTATGGATTCATCTCAAAAAAGGAACTAGACCTGGAGACTGAAAATCCTATCAAAGAACTCAGATGTGCAATCACCCAAACTGATACTTGATCCTTCTTTACCTAACAAACCTGAGCTTTGTTCAATTAAAACGTAACTCAAAGCATCATTGACTCACCTCATGGATGCTGGGGTATGGAATGTATTCCTCTTCCCTCTGAAAACACATAGAGGCCATTAGTAAATACATAAGAGTGTTGGAAAGAAGTTTGCTTCCAAGCTGAGAATAAAGAATGCACGCAGTTGCCTGAACCAGAGGTAAAGTTTATTTCTGAGAGCACTGTATAGAATCAACCGTCAGAAATGGCTGAGTTTGAGTCTTTTCTAAGAGCCTTTTATATAGAAATTCTTACCTTGGTTCCTCAAAAGCATGCACAAACACATCCTTTAAGAATTCCACCAAAATAGGCTTAACCAGTGCTCCAAGAGAGAGTGCATTTGCATTTAGTCACCCCGCTGGGTGGCAATTTCTGTAGCATTTTGTAGAATCGCAGGGTTGGAAAAGACTTTAAAGGTCTTCCAGTCCAACCCCCTGATCAAGACAGAAATCCTCATACCACCTCAGACAAATACCATTAGTTGTCCAATCTTTTCTTGAGAACCTCCAGCACATCTACAACTCTGGAAGGCAAGCTGTTCCATTGCTTAATAATTCTGTCTGGAATTTTTTCCTTATTTCCAGGTTGGATCTCATTCTGATAAGTTTCCGCCGATTGCTTCTTGTTCTACCCTAAGGTACTATGAAAAATAAATCAATGCGCTTTCCCAATATCCTTCAAGTATTGGAAGATTACTATGAGGTCTCCCCTCAATCTTTTCTTCATTAAGCTAAAAATACCAAGTTCCTTTAGCTGTTCTTAATAGGATTTAGCTGCTATCATATTTGTTGCTATTTTCAGAGCCTGGGCATTTTTTTTAATGGTGACCAGAACTGGATGCAGTATTCCAAATGTGACCTGAGAATCACTTTCCTTGATACTATCTCTCTGCTGATGCAGCCCAGAATTGTGTTGTTGCTCTTTTTTTAGCAGCGTAGCACACTGCTGACTCATATTTAAGTGGTGATTCACCAAGACACCTAGATACCTCTCACAGACACCACTGATGAGGAGGATACTGCCTATACTGCATCTGTGGATCTGGTTTTTCCTACCTAAGTGCAGGACCCCACTGAATTGCATCTTGTTGGTAGGGTCCAATGCTCAAACTATCAAGATCCTTCTGAATCTTGAATTTATCTTCTGAAGTGTTAGCAATTATCATCCAAATGGCATGGTGACTCAGTGGTTTAATGATGCTGAAGATGGTCTCTGCTCCAACAATTTGAGCCCTAGCACTGCATGGCAGGGTGAACTCCCATCACTTGCTTAAGTTTCTGCCCACTTAGCAAGTCAAAAGCATATTTTATGTGAGTAGATAAATAGGTACCACTTCATTGGGGAGATAAGCTGGTGCTTTGTGAAGGCAGGAAGATTTTTGCAAGCTCTGAACCTTCTTGGTTGCAACATAAATTTGTGAGGTAGCTCTGGTGGAGGGAGGAAGGCCTTGGATGCTGCAGGAAGAGCTGCTCACCTTTCTTCTGCAAACCTAGCTCACCCTCCAGTAGCACACCTTGGGAAGCATGTGAGCATGTACCACAACACAGCTAGTAAAATGACAGACAAATTTATTACTCTCAGTAGCCAAATACTATTCTGCATTAGTATTTTAGTCTCCTTCCTAGTACAACAATACTATTCAATCGTCATCATCATCATCATCATCATCATCATCATCATCATCAAATTCTACTCTTCCCTGTCTGATCATGAAACATCTGCTGGTAGAGGAGCAAACTCAGAAAACATTTAAAAATCAACAATATATTCCTTTTATTGCATCACTATATAATTTCTCTTTACTATATTGTGCAGTTTTTCTGGATCAAAAATATCTGTATTTTTTTCACCTTCTAAAAATAATATTTCATTAATGCAAAACTTAGAAATGTCCACCTGATCCTACTATCATTCCAATTGTAAACCAGCAAAAGGATCACATTTTGTATGTGAGCTGATGTGTCTCAGACATCAAGTAATAGAATCATAAAATTCAGCTGATAGATATTCTAAATATATTAAAAGCCACTACTTTAAGGTCTTTCTCTACCTTATCAGAATATGACATGACTTGATATCATTTATTTAGTCTCCAGATCACGAGTAGGCAGTTTTAAGTTATCCTTGGTTGAAGCCATTGTTAAATAGTAAAGGTAACACTGGTGATGTTACCTAGTTTGGGTAATAAAATGCCTGCAGGAAAACAAGCTCAGAGAGCACAAAAACATTTTCATAAATTGTCATGGATGGACCTCCAGTCCATATGTAGGAATGGATTTCAAAAGACCTCCAAAGAGTTTGTGTTTGGTCCCACCAACAATTATGCCTTTGTCTTGGGTGGGATATGGCAGTGGTCCCCAACCACCGGGCCCCGGACTGGTACCAGTCCGTGGATCATTTTGTACCGGGCCGCCGGTTTACTTGGGCGCCACCATCTTGTTTCAACGGCGCTTGAGAAAGTGCTTCTGGGTGAGCTTGTCGGTCGTCGGTTGTTGGAAAGCAGCGTTTGGGTGCTGAAGGAATCCTCGCACCTTAGTTTCATTGAAGGGCGGGGCGGCTTCGAATGAAGAGCCGTCCCGATGGCGGTGGAGTCTCGTGTTACACAGGAGGAGATTAAGAAAGAGTCCGAAAAGCACAAAAAAGGTATAAAGGAGGAGTTGAAGGTGGCAGGGAGAAGCGGGGGACGGCTGGCTGGCCGGTCGCTCGGCTCGCCTTGCCTTGGTCGTGCATGCTGATGCCGGTACCGGTCTGTGGATCATTTTGTGATGCCGGTACCGGGCCATGGTACAAAAAAGGTTGGGGGCCACTGGGATATGGAATAGGGAACTGCTAAGGAAATTGGCACAACTGCACCTAAATGCTCTTTCCAATATACTTCAAAAATAGAGCTTTTGTGTTTGTGCATATGTATGTATGTATGCATGCATGTATGTATGTATGTATGTATGTATGCATGTGTATATATGCATGTATGCACACACACACACATACAGAAGAACAGGAGCCGCAGTGGTACAGTTGATGATCAAAGTGCAGTGGAAGTTGACTCAACATAAATATGAGCCATTATAATATCAGTGTGTATTATGTTGAGGCAAACATGAAGCAAAGCAAGATTGTTTTGCACAAATTGCCTCTGCAGGCTCATGAGCTGATGAATTACTTCAGGTGTGAGAGGGGTGATTTTTACCTCTACCATCTCCTCCTTTAATTAGATCACAGAACCTTCAGTTACTTGCTTTTAATGAGCCTCTTCTGGAGAGTATCTTTTTCAGCCTTGGCCAGTCTGGCAAATTCAATTATGGGAGTCTCTGGTAATTTTGGACAGAAACGAAATGAGAGTATACCAGAGAAACTGAACACCCTATTGGAAGTAGCTTACTTCAATCCTAGTACAAGTCATCCTTAAATGATGACAATTCAGACCAGGGTTGCCATCATAAATCAGTGTGGCTGTAAAGTGAAACATCACATGACTGCACATGACTTTATGACAGCAATCCTGGCATACCCCATTGCAGTTGCTTACCAAGAATCATGGATCATCAAGCGAGTTCTCACCCATCCTAAGTATGATCTTTTCCAGCCCAGAGCCAGAGCCTCTGGTAAAGGACTACCTCCAACTCCCCCAACAGCCAATCTCCACCCCACACCCCCATTTCTATCCTGCACCATGCCTTGCTGGATGGCAAGCAGCCCAGAACCACATGGGTCTTAGACTGCTTGCCACATTGGGGTACCCAGCCCACCCCAGCAAATGATAGCAAGCATTCATTCACACAACTCCTTTAGCTCCCAGTTCCCTGCACTGACCTTTCATCTTTTGTCCTCAGCTATTGTTTCACTCCTTTTTGGACTCAGCTTCTCTGATGAACATTTCCTAGCCTTCAAGATTTTCTTCCTTTGCCTTGCATCTTTCAGCTGTCATAAGTAACGGGGGGAGGACGAGGGGGTAAAGTATGGGAAGTGAGCTGGAGGTGTTGCAAATTACTACTGTATAAACTGTGGAGGGGGGAGAGTACATTCTTGCTTAGCTTTCTATTTCTTGCTTAGCTTTCTCTTCTCTGAGCAGCTGCAAACCTTTATCAAAGTATGCCAAGGTCAACGGACATCACCACCTGAAGATGTCCACATGATGACATTCACAACTTTTAATTGGAAGAACCATTTGAACTTTTGGGGGTGGGAACATTGCCATCACTTTGTATATATGATTTACGTGCCTATTTTCTCAGATTCAGAATTCTTTTGTTGCTACCACTTGACTTCCAGTAAAAGATATCTTTTCTCTAATTAAAAGAGTCTAAGTATTTCTTTCTTGGATTTTGAATGGAGCACCAGGTGACACTACTTACGGTTCCCTGGGTCTTCAGAAAGTTGCTCTATCTTTGTAAAGCTGTGCTATCTTTTCAAAGGCTTTCTGAAGACAACACAACTGTATGAACAGCCATAACGGGTCATTTTTTTTGTCTAAACTTTGAATGGATGCTGAATGAATGGTTGTAAGTCAAAGATTACATATATAGTTTTTTGGCAACAATGGTTTGGGTGCCTTTTTCCAGGATAGTTTTTTTTTTAACTTCCTGGAATAGTCTACGGTGGGATTTCATGATGGTGTCCTATTTAAATACTAAACAGATCTGTTTGTTGGATGTTGCCACCTGCTGTGGCAGAAATGCCTCAGTTATAATATTACAAATGCTTCTAGATCAGGCTTAGGCATGAATACTGTAACCCACTTTTTATATCATTGTCTATGCCTTTAATTCGGAAACTTCCAGTTTCTGTGCAACTTTCAGCTCTACATGGTAGAACAGATCAGGAAACTGACTCCATAGGAAAATTAAACTCCACACTTTGTGGAGATTGGCTGTAGTAATGAAATCTTGCAAGTCTGCCTATGTTTTTCCTCCCCTCCTCCTCCTTCTATTCCAGTAAAGGAGGAAAGAATAAGTCTTAGGTTTTTTTCCCCCTAATACTCTTCTCCCACTTCCAACATTAACATATGCTTCAACATCCATTGTTGCCCTAACAACTTTTCCAAGGTCATCTCCATGGCTCCCTACAAGAACTCGAACTAAGCTAGTCTTTGAAAGACTTAGACATGAAGATCATTGAAGTGTCTGCCTTTTTTTTTCTAATTAATGAGAGAGGCTGATTGCCACTTTTAAAGCCTGTAAGGTGCTTCTTGCTGAGTTCAGGCAATTGACCTGTTTGATAGATTTTGTAAAGGTTATGTTTTAGTGGGTAATAGAATCTTGGCTAATGTCAGAAGCTAAACAGGATCAGTCCTGGTTAGTATTTTGATGTGCGATAATCTGTAAATTGTATGCTAGAAGTCAAAACATGTATAATGTTTCCACTTCCATAACTGCTAAGGAAACAGCATGGATGAAATCATCACAATACAATTTAATTCAAGAACATTTATTTTTAATAAAAGGTTTTAAATGTACGTTTAGACAGGCAGTTCTTTGAATGACTGAATAGTTCTTAGAATGGCACTTTTTGTTTAACTTTGGTTTTATGCTTTATTGTAAATCATAGTGAAGAGAGTCAGTTTGTTGTAGTGGTTAAATGTTAGGCTAGAAACTGGGAGACTGTGACTTCTAGTCCCACTTTAGGCACAAAGTCAGCTGGGTAATTTTAAGCTAGTCACTTTCCCTCAGGTTGTGGAAAGAGGCAATGGCAAACCAATTCTGAAAAAAACCTTGCCAAGAAAACTTGTCAAGGCAATCTTGAAGAATCAGACATGACTGAATCGAAGAAGAAAAAAATCAGAGGGATATTTTATTGCACGCATAAGGAAACATTCAACTAAAGTAATATAAATGCTAGATTGGCACCCAATTACATTTACAACCACAAGAGAACAGGAAATAGGTGCAAAGAGGGACTTTTCCTTTTCATCTTGCCATTCCTGCTCTTCCAGAGTTATTTGGAAGTATTCTTGAATTAATGCCCCTTATTTAATAGTATTGGTTTATTATGACCTTTGAAGTTGTATTATTCTAGTCATGTTGACTGGGAATTCTTGTCCCTACAGTCTCAGTACAATTAGAAGGTGACAGTTTGGGAAGATTAGTCTGCTTTGGAATACTTCATTTATTTTTTTGTTTTTAATTAATTAATATTCCACCTTTATTATTTTTATAAATAATTCAAGTTGGTGAATGAATCCAATACTCCTTCCTCCTCCCATTTCCCCCCCAGCAACCCTGTCAGTTGGTTTGGGCTAAGAGAGTGGTTTAGGCATGAAAACCACTCAGCTGGCTGTCATGCCTGAAGTGGGACTGGAACTCATAGACCTTTAGTTTCTAGCCTGGTGCCTTAACCACTAGACCAAAATAGTCTACTTTCCTGAACACTGAAACATATACACAAACAATGCTCTGTTTTCTGCCTTCCCCTTAGGGCCAGGAATTCCCAGCTAGCATGACGAGAGTAATACAACTTTAAAGTTCATAATAAGCCAATTCTACCGTATAAGGGGCATTGATTTACATTAACATTAATTTTCCTTTATTGCTATAATAATTTCTATTTCTTTTATTTCTCTTCTTCCCTCACCTGGACTAGGGCTCTCTCTCTCTCTACTCCAATTTGCCTCTAATCAGTACTTACAGTGATGCCCACAGATCTTGGAATTCCTCTGACAGCACCATTAAATTTTAGTGTACAATTCTGAAAAGTCATGGTATAGTTCTCTGACATGAAAAGCATAATGCAAACCATGTATAAGGTTTGAGTTAAGGAAGAAAATCAAAGACAGAGAAAACCCAAATTGGGCACAGGCCCAAATATGTTAGTCTGTCCCCAAACTATACAATCCATTGTGACTTCTGCCCTCACCAAAACTGTAAGTCTTGCTCTCATTCCTCTAAGGGTGTCTATTCTCTGAACCAGCTCTTCTAACTCCATAGTCGTACAGAAACAGAAGACTGCTATTCGTTCCATGACTCCTAAGAGAGGATTCCATTCAATTGGGAGTGAAGCCTACCTCAAGTCCTTAAGAACAGCCCTCCCCCAAATCTTATCTACAAAGCCTGCAAAGTTAAAACTGCAGAAAAAACAATTACTACCAATCTGCCTTCAATCAAGGACCTGTATATTGCACGTGTCAAAAAGAGGGCTGTAAAAATATTTATAGACCCCTCATATCCTGGACATAAACTGTTTCAACTTCCCTCAAAACAATGCTATAAAACACTGCACACCAGAACAACTAGACACAAGGAGAGGTTCTTCCTGAATGCCATCACTCTGCTAAACAAATAATTCCTCAACACTGAACAACTATTTACAAAGTCTGACTACTATTACTATTAATCTTCTCATCATTCCTTATCGCCCATCCCCTCTCACTTGTGACTGTATGACTGTAACTTTGCCGCTTGTATCCTTACGATTTATATTGACTGTTCCTAGTATGATTTGATTGTTTATTGTACCCTATGACTATCATTAAGTATTGTACCTTATGATTCTTGACTCTTAACGAATATGTCTTTTCTTTTATGTATACTGAGAGCATTTGCAAAAATTCCTTGGGTGTCCAATCACACTTGGCCAATAAAGAATTCTATTCTCCTGCTGGGTTGTTCGTTGACTGAAATTCTGCTGAAATATTAGGGTGCAACTTGTCCCATCATAGAATAATGTGCAGTCCTTTGGATTTACCATTCCTAATTCAAAAAATGCAATGAGCAATGGAAACTGACCTTCAGTGTTGCTGGAAGTGAACATCTTTGCTCATCCAAACGACTTCTCTAGATAGACAGATAGGGAGACAAGGAAGTCCGGAAGAGAGGGAGGAAGGAAGAAATCAATCAATCAATAAACAATTAAGTTTATTTTTCCCTCTGCCTCAGAGGGGGAAGGCTGTTGAAAGTCCATCTGGCCTTTGAATAATATAGTGGGGACAATGCTCCAAAAATGCTGGGGCAAGGTTAACAACTAAATACAATTTAATTTACATATAATGGTATTAAACATAGTTAATATAATTGTTTTTCACATATTTAGTACCTCTTCCATTCTATCATATTAAATATTAAGGTTTGGTGGCCATTTTGGGAGGGGCTCTAGAAGCTGCAGCTGACAACAGCAAACCACTGCTCTTTTCAGGGCCAAGAGCCTCACTACCAAACCACTTCACATTTCAGGAGCAAAGAGTTCATCAAAGTTCATTATAGGCAACATATTTAGAGAATGTGCTTTTGTTATGCTCCTATGCTTAATCATTCACTCTAGAATAATCACCTCTTTTCAAAACAGGACTTTTGTGTTATGTACATACACACACACACACGTATTTCCATATAGGTAACATCAGGTTGCAGAACAAATATGATATTCAGAAATGCTAAGACATTTGAGAAAAATATCATTGGCCTAAAATCCTGGGAGGAAGGGACAGAAAGTATCAACTCTGATAAAGCAGGAGAGCTTTTTTTAAAAAAAACTAACAAAACTATTTGTATATGGTTTCTTGCTCACCCAAGTGAGGGAATCAATCCATCACCAAACCTATTCACTACTGCCTGTAATACAACTGTCCAAATGTTATTTTTTCCCCTCACTGGCTGCTCCAGTTTCATCTAGGCACTCATCAGAGTAGGAATTCAGTGAAACTAAGTTTTCTAATTTACCTCCTCCATCCACTTTCTTCTGAGAGCTTCAAATGGAAAAACAGATTTCATTCATACCAAAAGCTTACTCTAGGTAACACATCTGCAGTGTGTTAGGCTCAGACTGTATGTGATATCTATTACACAATTTGCCCTGGAAAGCAAATTTTTTTTTAAAAAAATAATTCATTCCACAAATCTCAACTGACTTTATCAATAGAGTGATTTCAGTTTAAAGTCCAGTACATGAGAAAGTGTGAACACAGATGTGCAAGAGAAGTGACCCAAAATGCATTTCATCCAATGTATTTCCCTCATGTAGGTATCCCTGCAGTCAGGCCCAAATGAAAACAGAGATGTAGCCCACAGGCAGAGGAAGAGAATTGAGGTATCACTAAGGAAAAGCACAGCTCTTGGAGCTACATGACTTCCAGAAGTACAGCAGAAAGAAAGCATCCATTTCTAACAAAGGCACAGCAGAGAGGTAAAAACATTTTCCTAAATTACAAAGAGAATCACCCAGGAGCCAGACGAACCAATAGAAAGAGCACGGGCAGGAACAGGAAGGGTGAAATAGAAGGGCATCAAGGTAAGATGAGTCACCAGAAGTCAGCTGTGCGGAGGGGGTTAACAGCTTACACAGCTATAGGCCGGACAGAGACCTTTCAGGTAATTATTGCATTCGGGTTGTGGTAATGTTCAGGTGGCAAGACAACTCCATAGCAGAAGCAGCTTGTTATCAGAGGTTCAAAATTTGATCATGAAACAAGAAAAACATACCTGCATTTTTTCAATCATTTCAAATAAGTCGACTACCTGTATGGAATCACATAAAATCAGAAATCAGTTTGCAGACTCCAAACTTTAGGTCATTATTACTGTTTCATTAGATCGTGCCTTCAATACTGCAGGTTTTTTTTTAATGAAAATACAAAATACAGAATGCTTCCTGATAGTCGCTGTCCCAGAAAAGAAAAAAACATATTGTATAAACTCCAATTATCTGGAAACCAGGCCACTTTGGAAAAGTGTCATGTCTTATACTTTTAATGAGCTGCTCATTACTATTGTATTCCTTACTCAGATATTCCTTTTTGTCTGAAAAGAACAAAATATTTTGCCATTTAAAGGACAACCTTTAAATTTTAAACCTTAAAAAACATAATTGGAAGAGACTCTGGAAAGTCCAAGTACCTGCTAAAAGCAGGACAGCACTATAGCACTCCCAACATATTTTATCTATCAATCATCTCTGCCTTTCTCTTTCTGTCCCTCTCTCACACTCATCTAAGTTAGATACCTTCTGTCTTATTCTGAGTGACTCCAGGTGGGGTACATAAGGCTGCCCAGCTCTGCTTAAACACTTTAAGGGACATAAACCATCCTATTTAAGGCAGTCTGTTACCATTAAAAGTTCTTCTAAATTTTAGCCAAATATTTATCTCTGGCTGAATCCATATCTTTCTCATTGAGACAAAAGAAATTAATTTACTGCATATTCAACATGAAAACCTTTCAAACTGTCAAATACAACTGATATATCTCTCATCAATATTTTTCCTGGCAATATTTTTCCTGGCTTCTTAAACAACTGGTCCTAGAAGACTATACATAGTATTTTCATGAGAGAAGGCTGAATGGAACCTTCTTCTTTGTTCATTAAACACCTAGATAATAGTTTTTCATAGACAAAACACAGGAAATATTACTAACTTAGCAGTATATATACCACTGTAACTGCAAGGAAGGAAAGAGGAAGAACTGTAAGCAGTAAGGTAAAAAAAATGCAGAAAAGAATTATATTATTGACAGTATCAAATTGTGATACAAAAGGTAGATTTGTATCTAAAGAGACAAGAGCTTATGTGGAAAAACCGCTTGCTCCAAACCTTCCCCAAATCCCTAGGTTCCAATTTCCAATCTTTCATACTTGGGTGCCAAGAACTGATGTTCTAAGTTTATACAGCTGAAAGAGCTCAGAATCATCCAGCTATGTTTACCCAGTTCCTGTCCCTGATACTAATGGGGTTCAGTTTAGAAGATCTCCGGTCAGCCAGAAAACTGTCTGGGTGACCTTAGACTAGCTTCTCTCTCAAGCTAACTTATGTCCCTAAGGGTAACAAGGATTAGAGAGATAAGACAGAGCTTCGGTGGCACAGTGGTTAGAATGTAGTACTGCAGGCTACTTCTGCTGACTGCCAGCTGCCCACAATTTGGCAGATCGAATCTCACCAGGCTCAAGGTCGACAGCCTTCCATCAGGGGTGGGATTCTACCAGTTCTGTTCACCTCTGTAGAACTGGTAGCTCTGAAGACAGCAGACAGAGAGCATACATAGAACCGGTTCTATGTCTGCTGCTGTTTTGGCCCACCAGGCTCTTACCTGACCTTTATTTCCTGCTTTTTCAACTGCAGCTGCTTTGCGCAAAACGTAAAATCACCAAAACCGGTTGGATCCCATCCCTGCCTTCCATCCTTCCGAGGTGGGTAAAATGATGACCCAAATTGTTGGGGGCAAAATGCTGACTCTGTAAAGTGCCTAGAGAGGGCTGTAAAGCACTATAAAGCGGTACATAAGTCTAAGTGCTATTGCTATTATCTGAAGCTCCTAAAGCAAAGACAAGACTGGTTGAGCTAAACACATCCACATTATTAGAGTCAGGGTGAAAGCAAGGGCATTCCTTACCTTATTCTGAACACCTAGATTAAGGGCAGCCTGAGAGTCCTGGATAGGTGAGTCTAAGATGTCACTGATGCAGTGTTCTGCTTCATCAGATCTCCTGTATGAAAAGGAGGCCATGCCAGTTAGCATAATCAAAACAAACAACAGCTGCAGAACTGTCACCTTACCCAGATGCTGACACCTTTTTTCATAAGCTTAAGGAACTGGCCTGATTGTAGTTCAGACAAGGCCCAGACTGTATTTTTATGAAGCCCATTCAGAGAAATATACATAATTCTTTTCAAGAAAAGATTATAACTGTGAATGGGCAGGAAGAGTAGGTTTTAAATCAGGGGTCGCCAAACTTTTGGACCTCAGGGACTCATAATTTTAAATCCCACAGACCACTAATATGAATTTTGACTGACAGTGGCTTGCTGACGTTGGTGGAAAATTCGGTCCCATATTCCAGAGCTGCAGTAGTCACAGGACTGGCCCTTTGGTCATCCCAGAGCAGCTGCTCCTCCACCCGGGTGCACCAGCCTGCCATGGACTGGAGGAGCTGTTCTGGGATGACCAAAGGGCCGGTCTTGTGACTACTGCAGCTCTGGAATATGGGACTGACTTTCCCACCAACATCTGCAAGCCAACCTGCGGCAGATTTCCCTCCCCGACCATTGGTGTTACCTTCAAGTTCCAGCTTGCGTGGCTCTACTCAAGGTAAGGTTTGCACTTGGCCAAAGGGTGGGGGCCAGCGGGTGGGCGGGCCATGTCAGTGGAGCACCTTGTGTTCCCATGCAGCCTGGATTAATTGCTTTGGGGGGGGAGTGCTTTGGAGGGGACATTTATCTGCAGACCACCAAAATTTTCTCACGGACCACCAGTGGTCCCCGGCCCACCAGTTGGCGACCACTGTTTTAAATGATATCTAGCCAAAGCATAGCACTAAAATAAAGAAACCCTAGGTAAATTCCCCTAGTCATCACAGGCAGACATTTATTAATGCATCTCACACAAGTATTCAACACTGAATATGGTTTCAGAGATAAAAGCTTTGACTACTCAGCCAGTGAGTAGTCAAATAGACGCATAGTCAAATGGAAGCATGTTTAAAAACCAAGAACAGAGCTTGTGCAGGCTAGACATGTAATCACAAATCATCCTTGCCCATCCATTGTTGTAGCCCTGCTTGGATTCTGGTCTATTTATTATTTATTAGACACAAATCACCTTTCATTCGGGAGCTTAAGCAGTGTATATATGCGCTACCTCTTCCCATTTTCTCTACACAGCAGCAACCCAGTGAGATTAGTTAGGCTGAGAGAGAATGACTGGCCCCCAAGCCACCCAGGGAGCTTCTATGGACTTGGACCTAAGTCTCCCTAATGCCAGTGTTACCCCTTCTTCCACACAAGTATTTACATGGATGGGATGTACAAGAAAGTATAATCTCTCCCTCCCATTCTTGGAGTGATGTAAAAGTGTTCCTGCAGGTTTAACCCTGCCAGTTGTGACTGCCTTAAGCGGGCTATGCTCACCTCCATTTCTTAAGCCAAAGAGCCAGTGATGTCTAGAGATATTCCACAGTCTTGTGGCCAGCATGACATCACCTCTGTCTGAGACCTTTTATATATTATTCTGTCTGCCCCTTCAACTTTCTATTACAGCTGCCTCTTCTCTTTCATGCAAAGCAATTTTTTTGGGAACAATTATTAATAGTGCCACTGAGTGATAAATTGTTGAATTCACATATATCAAAAAGTTTCAGCCAATCTCAGAAGGTTTCAACAAGCACAAGGGGTTTTAACTTGCTACAATTAACTGATAAGATAATCTGTGGCTGATGTAACCTGTGTCTGCATAATTTCTTTCCCCCATCTCACCCACAGTTAAATCCTGCATCAGTCTAGCCACTCTATGCATGTGATGAAGTGAGCTGCAACTTGTGAATGCTGATTCCTTATAATAAAATGTGTCAGAAAAAAGTGCTGCCAGACTCCTGCTTTTTCACATTCCATTTCAGATGCACAGGACGCTGACCTGATGCAGTGACAATTCTCTCTCTCTTCTTCCACACAAGTATTTACATGGATGGGATGTACAAGAAAGTATAATTAGAAAGAGAAACCCTGAAGAATCATATTAGGACCATTCATAAATAACAGAGGAGAATGCTGTGAATAAAAAACAGTATCCTCCTGGATTGATGCCCCAAAAGATGTGTGATGTGGAAGTTCTGCAAATAATAATTTCACCTGTTTTAACTTTTTACCACACACACAAAAAACCCTACGTATGCATACAAAAACACAATGCAACAGTATAGAAGTTCTTACAATACATGATGAAACACTTGACAGAGTAGAACAAAAGACCATCTACTCCGATGTTCTGTACCCCTGCAGCTGACACGTACATCCACAAAGTTCAGAATTAGGACATAATAACAATAGCCTTCTTCCTTTATGTGCTAATTTATCTTGCTATCCTTTGCAACAGCTCCCTATGTTTGGTCTCCAACAGCTGGTATTTTAAGATAGACTGTGTTTGATTCTAGACTAATTTACCAGATTAGTAGCCAAGGAAAGTCCTGTCCTCCATGAAGTGTTCTTCTTTTACAACCATCTAAGATTGTAGCCCTCCTCATCACATCTTCCCAATTTGTTTCTGTATCATCATTTATTTCCTTGAAAGTGTCCCGACTCCCTTTGCACAGGGCTCCTTGCACGAGGAAACAGGGAGAAAAATACATCTCTGCCACATTTTCCATCAATGCTGAACATTATTTTATATGCTGGATCTTTTCTTATCTGCCCTCATTCTAAATTAAGAGGCCCAAATGCTTTAATGTATGTTTGTTACCTGAAGTCAGGTAACAAAATTTCCATAGGTTTTTTTTTCTCTTAATGCCTGCCTACCTTTTTGTAGTACAGGTAGTCCCTGATTTACAACCATAATTGAGCTCAAAATTTCTGTTGTTAAGTGAATTTTGCCCCATGTTATGATCTTTCTTGCCTCGGTTGTTAAGTGAATCAATGCAGTTGATAAGTTAGTAACATTGTTGTTAAGTGAATCTGGCTTCCTCACTGGTTGCAGAAGTTCGCAAAAGGTGATCACATGATTTTGGGACACAGCAATGGTCACAAATATGAATCAGTTGCCAAACATCTGAATTTTGATCACATGATCACAGGAATGCTGAAAAGATTGTAACTGTGAAAAACAGTCATAAGTCATTTTTTCAGTGCCATTGTAACTTTGAACGGTCACTAAACGAACTTTTTAAGTGGATGCAGACATCTGTCTTAACAGGAGACAGCAGCTGAATTACTTACAGATGACAAGCTCCCTCTACCCTAAAAGGTACAAGACAGCAACCAGCAAGCTACTTTTCCACTCCAAAGTGGCAGGCAATAACCTGTAGCAGGTAGAATATGCTTGGATATTAAGGATCATTTATCAAAGCAATAAAAAGACTCATCCAGTACTATAATAAGAATTGCTTTTGTGTATGAGCCATTTACATAGAGAAGGCCAGGATACATGTTTTGCTGCTCCAGATACATTTCGGTCTGGATTACCTCCAGCTGCAGCCTGCCATACACTCCGTCTGGGATTCAGTGACTAAGCTGTTGTTTAGCTTTGCAGAGAGCTTACCTGCATTAATAGCAGCATTATATAAAGAACATTATTATGCAGTACTTTGTAAATTTTCTATAATTAGCAGTATTATGTAAATTCTCAGATTCTGCTATGCTCTTCGGCCTGACTATAAACCTGAATAAGCTTGAAATACTTGACCAAGGCCATAAAACCCAAAATCACTGTTTATGCCACCCAGTTGACAAATGCAAACAGCTTCAAATACTTGGGAAGCATCATCTTGAGTGATGGCTCTTTGAACAAAGAAACTGATTCCAGGACCAGCCAGACCAGCCAAGCACTGGGGCAGCTGTATACTTGAGTGCTCAAATACACAATGTCTGTCCCTTCACAAACTTCAAAGTCTACAGAGTTGTGGCTATCCCTTCTCTCTTATATGGATGTGAATTCTGTATCAATGACACATCAAACAACTGGAGAAATTTCACATGGGTGCTCAGCTCCATCCTTGACATTTGATGGCAAGACCTTGTCTCCAACTTGGAGGTTCTGGGTGACTCACCAACATTGAGTCCCTTATTATCAGAGCCAATATGTGGTGGATGGGACATGTCAGCCAAATGGATGACCACTGTATACCTTGCCAGTTGTTGTGTAATGTACTGGAGGCTGGAAAGAGACCTGGAGGTTATTCACACAAGCTTTTACAAAGAAGGAAACTAACGCCATTGTGACATTCAACTAAGGGAACCAGAAGCTGTGGTTGCTGACACAATCTGTTGGTCAGCTCTGAGGTATGAAGCTTCCTTTTGTCAGCTTTGAAGAAAGATGCTGACAAAAACTGATAGAAAACTGTGAACTGCATCACAGAACAACATCCACAGTTACTGCAACAATGGACTTTCAGTACCCCCATTGTGTTAGACTGCATCCCAGACTGGGAATGCAAAGCCCAGTTCAAAGGAGGAGGAGTTGGACCTAGGATTGGCCAAGGGGGATGGAATGCCTCTCTTGGCATGTTTGGAGAGGCCAGGAGCTGAGGACAATGCTGTCCGAGGCCCCTTAGTCACGGGGAGAGGTGGTTGACTGGACAGAGAGCTGCCTGCCAGGGTGGATGGGCTGCTGACAAGCAGTGGGGCTGATAGGCAGTTGATCCCTTCTGATAAGGAACAACTGCCTACCCCACTTGATCCAAGGGCATGGAGAGCAGAGGGTAGGCAAACTCAGAGAAGGGTTGCAAGGTTACTCAAAAGAAGATCACCCCCCACTCCTCACAAGGAACACATGGAGTGGATTGACTTAAGGAGAAGCAGTAGGGAGTTAGTCTTTGCCAGGAACAATAGTTTTGACTTACACTTCCCCAGCTTTGACTCATGCTTTTTGCCTTTTGCTTTGCCTAGCCTTGAGGACTGCCTTTTGCCTTGTTACCTTGCTCTTGCCTTGAAGACTGCTTCTTGCCTTTCCTTTCCGTGAGAATTGCTTTTTGCTTTGTACCTTGTCTTTGCCCTGAAGACTGCCTTTTGTCTTGTGCCTTGA